CGAAGTCAACGTGTCATCAGTTTCTACGAACAAAATTACTAGGAAGTCATCAAATCTATACAATAATTATTCCTCTGGAAAATGATGCTCTCAGGATATATTGTGATACGGTCATGAAGGGAAGAGGAGGAAAGAAAATAATCAAATAGAGGTAAGGTTTAAGTTTGGTTTTGGACTTCAACTCAAATTATTGAAGTTCGCGCTTTCATATACTGTTTCACATCTGTATCGGTTTACAACTTGACAAGCAGATCATTTTTCTGTCAAGAAAATGAAGATATTGGTAAAAAATATAGGATTGAAAAATTCAAAAAGGAATTCAAGAAATATCTACTCCTGTAATATTGACATCTTATCTCATTTTCATAGTTTTCTTGAGGCTCTGGAATTCATTGCCTGAGGAAGTATTCCCAACAACATATAATCTCTGTTCTGTGTAGAATTGTATGTATCTATTTTCGGATTTTCGTTATTGAATGAATATCAATTTGGTTCATCATTTGTTGAAAAATAAAACTAATACTAGTAATTCCTGATGAAGCCAAAAATAAGCCACTGCCAATGACCTGTTTCACTTGTTAGAATTTATGCAAATGGCAGATGCCATTCAATATCATAATCAATGAATGATAGCTAGGTTCAGGATGGTTCAGGTTTCCAGGTGCATTGTTTATCGAATTTCTGAATAGAATCACAGATATTCACTTTTTTCTCGAAAAAAAAAATTCTCGGAATCGTTGGTGTATACAATTTGTATATTCCCAAATTCGATGTGTATAATTTGTCGGCGTCATGTTTATGGTGAAAAGTTCGTGGCAAAACAGTAGGACAAACTTTACTTTTTTTCGAACAATAATTGCTCGGAATCATTGATGTAGTCATTGTCGTTCTATATAGATGACAACCTAGTTAGGTAGTTAGTAGGCAAGATACCTCCTCGCACTAGGTCGCCTACTAGGTTTTTCATTTAGATCGACAATGGTGCAGTATACAATTCGTATTTTCCCAAATTGGATGTGCATAATTTGTCGGCGCCATGTTTATGGTGAAAAAGTTCGATGCCACACTGCAGAACATAAAATTAGCCGATTCGTATCGTAGGCACAGTATCTTATCGTAAATGAAATGTAAGAGATGAATAAACAATTATGTACATCTGTTGAGATGTTTGAAGGATTTTATGTTTGAATTTCGTTATGGGCCCACAAGTGGGCACCTCAAAAAATTGAGTATAGACTCATTTGTGTTGTTCCTCTCCACGGAAATCTTTAGTAAAAGGCGAAAGATTTATTCGCAATGAAGAGAAACCAGAGTAACAATTATATGTATGATTTCAGTATTTAAAATCTCACAGGCTACTCGCGTTGATAAGTTGTATGTACCGCCATCTCAGAGCGTTTTCGTACACTATAATCACGATCGATGCATTAGTGTGTGCCTGATTCCCTGCATGTTTCCAACACACAACCAACTTATCGAAGGAGGGGAAGGGTCAAGTCTCAAATGTTTCACGAAAATTTGGAAAAGGTATGCCGTATGGAAATCGCAGTAGTTTTTAGAACTAGTTATATAGAATTGCTAGTGTATAATGGAAATACTAATTGAGGATTATTTTTCGTGTGATCCAAAAGATACATGATACATCTAGACTCTAGAGAGAGTCCGATATTGTTGAAAACATGATCCGAAAACGAATATGGACTGAATTACAGAGTTATATCCCGAGCATATATCTGCATTTACAGGATTTCACTGAAAAAAAATCTATAGACAGCCGAAAGCATTTTCTAATACCTATAGGTATATAGGTATATTTGCAATATCAAAAACGACAGAAGCATATAGAAAATAAAATACCTACCTATTATATTTTTTTACCTAGTAAGCTCATTATTATTATGTATGGGCATCTATATTTTCTTTTTATCTTGTAACCTTTGGCTTGCAATAAGTATAAGTATTATACAGGGTGATTCATTAATTAAGAATGGGAAATCTCTACAGAGATAGTAAACACAAAAATAATGAGATTTTGTTGCTGGTTGTGTTCTAGGTAAGGATTTCATTTCAAAATTTCACAATCACTTTGTTAGTTTTTACAGCATGAACATGAAATCTCGTATTACTAGGTTTTCTGACATGACGAATATGAATAATTTGTAACTTATTTTGTGATTGCTCATAGAGGGCGATAGTGGCACTGTGTTACTTCGATAATTTACATCGTATCTTCTATGTCAATTCATTGATGATCAAAATAAGTGAAAAATCTGGAAGCTCGTCCAATTTCTCATAAAAAATGTACTCTCTATCAAACTGTCTAGCTTCAACAGTTTTTGTGTTATTCGCTCTTGAAGAGATTCATTTTCCACTTATGACATTTTAATAATTTTATTTATTAAATAAAGAATGGGAAATCTCTGAACTACAAATAGTAAACACCCAAATATAAAGATTTAGCCCAACATGCCTCATAAAAATATTGCTGGTTTAAGAGATACAGGGTGGTTAAGGAGAAAACATTTTGAAATAATATCGTCTCAGGGATTTCCAATTCTCAATTTAATAAATTAAATTTTTGAAATGTTATAATTGGAACATAAATCTCTTCAAGAGCGAATAACACAAAAACCGTTGAGGTTAGACAATTTGATAAAGAGTAAATTTTTCATGTGAAATTGAACGAGCTTTCAGATTTTCAACTTATTTTGATCATCAATGAATTGACATAGAAGATATGATGTAAATTTTCGAAGTAACAGAATGCCACTAACGCCTTCTATGAGCAATCACAAAATAAGTCGCAAAATCATATTCCTTATGTCAGAAAACCTAGAATTACAAGTTTTGATGTTCATGCTGTTAAAACTAACAAAGTTATTGTGAAATTTTGAAATAAAATCTTCCCCTAGAACACCCTGTATCTCCTAAACCAGCAACATTCTCATCAGTCTCACATATCCTAGTTTCACATATCTTAGTTCATATTCTTTTCGAGTTATGTATAGATATAGGTATATATTTTTAGCGATCCAACTAATAACCATGTATTATTACATACACCTGTAAATGGGCGTAAGCCTGCTGGATGTATTAATATTAAATAAATAAATGAATAAATTAATAAATAAATCAGGCATATTGGGCTAAATCTCATTATTTTTGTGTTTACTATCTGTAGTTCAGAGATTTCCCATTCTTAATGAATCACTCTGTATAGATTCGCATGTTTATTTACTTATGTCATGTTGCATTTTGAGACAAAACGGGGCCAATATGAGTAGAATGATAAAATAATTATGGGAAATAGGTGAGGAATGCAATTAATTTGCTTTCTTACAGGTAGGTACAGTCTTATTATAAAAGAGACGCTTGTGTCTCATGATGCCTCTCCTTTGATCCTTTTGGAATGGGAAAGCAGAGTTTTGTGAAGCGGTCCATAAAGAATTTCTTAGATTTCAGGTAGGAGAGAGTGGAGTATTCTACGAAGGCCTGGAAGGGACACATAAAATAAAAAAAATAAAAACTCCTTCAAAATTCTGAGTTATAACTCGGAATTTTACATCCAATATTCCGAGTTATAACACAGAATTTTGAAGAGTTTTTATTTTTTTTATTTTATGTGTCCCTTCCAGGCCTTCGTAGAGTATTCAGATCCACAATCATTATTGTTCCACAAAAATTAATAAGTGCAGGATAATTAATATTCATCCAGTCGAAAATAAGTAGACACCTACCTATATGTTTCTTTACGTCATATTTTCGTCTTCTATTTATTTCATCGTCTACTGAGGTATATTAGTTTTTTTCCTTCTTTTTTTGTTTGCATTTTTCGTAAATTTTTGTCTTCTGTAAACAGTAAAGTGAATTCATCAATCATTATTGTTTTATTTGTTCTAAAATTTGTTCTATCCGTCACTCGGTTGCCCCCTTACGAGCAACCCTCAAAAGTCTTCGAAAGTCTTGTGCGAGCAAGGAATGACGGGGGCCTTACCTTTTAACGTGTGAACAATATTGGAACAATAAATAATAAAAATATTATTTTAGATTTGACAGATGATATAATAGTTTATTCCTCAATCCTCTCTCCTGCCGTCATTATTTTCTGCCCTATTTATTGTTTTCTATTTATTCTTATTGTTTTGTTGTCCTTTCTGCAATGGTTAGTGTTTTCATTTATCATTTTCTTTTGTATTTTTCGTCCATCCATACTACTGTTCATTTGAATAAAATATTTAATTTTCTATTCTTCATGCACTCCTCTTTTTTTTTCTGTTTCTTTTGTTGTCTTCTACAATAGATACCTTGATCTATATTTTTTCTTTAATTTTTTTCAATAATCTCCTTTTTACATTGTTGTAGGTAGTTGTACTATAAACTTGTTCATACTGAATATTTTTGAGTACACAATGCACAGTAGTTTTGAAACGCATTGTTTTATTTGAACTGAGAATAATAAGGGGTAATTTGAATTTCATCAGTTTCAATGCTCATATTATTTCCTTTTTATATTCTTCATTTTTTTCTTTGTTTTTTTTTCTTGAAATTTTGTCTCACGTGATTCATTTGAAGAAAAAAATGAAGAGGGTAATTGTTCATTTGGTTCTATTTTCTTCGGTATTTATAACAATATAATAATAATTGTTTTCATTGAATCAACTCATTCATGTACACATGAAATATATTATTCTTACTAAAAAACTCGAATGAAGTTGTGAAGAATATTTATTCGAATAAAAAAGAAGTAGAACGAACTTCGGAATTTTCACCTGCATTATAATAGAAACAAAACTATCTAAATTGATTTATATCCAACCTTACTCAATTTTTTTAAGTCAAACTACATTTTTTATACCTAATATAACAAAGAGAAAATCTAGATTTATTGAAACAACTGTTACTTAATTTTCTTCAACTTCTATAAAACCCTTATCCTGCTCATAAAACTAAACAATAACAATCAACCTATTAGAGACAAACCCACAATGACAGAATGATTTCTAGGGTTTCTTTAAAAAATCACGCACTGCCAAGTGCCACATCGTACTGATGGTACTGGTTCTACTCTCTCCCAACCAGTCACAAGTTAGTACACTCAGGTGGTTCTTCGAACGTCCTCACGGTTCCGTTAGTCGGCCAGTCTGCACCATCAGAAGGTACCTACGCACACCTCGATACGCCGTCATCATCATCGAAAAACCAAGAAAAACAACCGACAATCAGTTTCCGGAACCACCAACGAAAAATGTAACCTCAGATGTGGCTGTTGGAAATGTGAAAAACTTCGAGTGTGGCGCGACAATAGAAAATATTGTGATTTTGTTCGGACTCGTCTGTGACCTAAATTCTCCGTGGAATACTGTAAATCGGAAAAATCGCGCTTCGATAAATCTTGTTAACGTAATTAATAGTTGATAGTTTAATCAACAGTTATTCGTACTGTTGTAGGAACAAAAAAACGCTACCTGGCTACCTTGATCTTGACCGCGGTGTCTTCACCATCCGTTGCCATGTCTGCACAGTGAGAAAAAAAGGAAACCTCTAGGATGTTGGTTTTTTCGTGAACAGTTGGTGGTTTTCGCGTTTTTTTTCTTCAGGAACCAGCCCCAATAACTGGCTAGATGTTGAATATCGAGTGATTGACCTGTGTGTGTGTGTGTGGATGTACTCGATAATGGCTCCTACTGGTTCCAATTGGGTTCCAAAGACTTTTCTCTCTGTTGGGATTTTGATTGTTTTTGTTTTCGGAACACACGGTAAGGACTATACGAGAATCATTAGGAGTGTAATAGAAAATAAGTAGGTAGATGATTTAGAATTTTTATGGCTGCTCTGATGGGATATACAGTCTGTCCAAGATAAGGTTGCACAGCATGGGGATCTCGGAAACGGTAGGAGAAACGAAGTCGGTTAAATGGGGAAAAAGTTGCACATTCGGAGGCTCATACCAACAGCCTTCGAAAATTTTCAAAATTGTTTTAAGTTTTCCAGTTATATCGAAAAAAGTGAATTTTTCGAATCTCTATTTTATTTTTTTTCTCCGTTATTATTAGAGATACAGGAAAACTGAAAATACTTTTTCATACCAACTTTTGATGACGTTTAACGTGGTGATACCGATTTTTCTATGCGACGTTTCGTATTCGTAGAACCATCACCAACTTTTGTTTTTCAAATACGGTCCTGATAATTCTTTCACAGATTCTGAAAGCTTTTTCTATTCTGAATTCAACCATGTATTATACAAGGTGGTTTGAATGTGTTTCGAACTATTTTTAGCCATATTCAATGTTTTTTTTTCGAAATTCCAAAGGAAAAATGCCATCATTTCCACTTATTTTGAAGGAAAATTAGCCAACAAACTAATACCTCATCAACTAGTTCCGATTGATAGACTTGTAGGAATAATTAGTTCGAAAAATTTAATTATGACAAAAGCTCGAGCAAAAGCTCCTTCGGATTAAAATATGAATACAATTCATAAACAATTCGAAGCGCTGCATAGAATAATTTAGTGGATTTTTTTTTCACTTTTCAGTATTGAATAACTAGTTCATCAATGTTTGACACTGAATAATCAGAAATAAGTGGAACTGATGGCATTTTTCCTTTGGAATTTCGAAAAAAACATTGATGATGGCTAAAAATAGTTCGAAACACATTCAAACCACCCTGTATAATACATAGTTGAATTCAGAATAAGAAAAGCTTTCAGAATCTGTGAAAGAATTATCAGGGCCGTATTTAAAAAACAAAAGTTGATGATGGTTCTACGAATACGAAACGTTGCATAGAAAAATCGGTATCACCACGTTAAACGTCATCAAAAGTTGCTATGGAAAAGTATTTTCAGTTTTCCTGTATCTCTAATAATAACGGAGAAAAAAAATAAAATAGAGATTCCAAAAATTCACTATTTTCGAAATAACTGAAAAACTAAAAAAAAAATTTGAAAATTTTCGAAGGCTGTTGGTATGATCCTCCGAATGCGCAACATTTTCCCCATTTAACCGACTTCGTATCTCCTACTGTTTCCGAGATCCCCATGCTGTGCAACCTTATCTTGGACAGACTGTATAGACCTTGAAAACGAAAATAAGGGTTTTTCCAATCCTGCCTCGTATATTGTTATGGAAAAGGTCCCCCGTTAAAGACCATGTTAAATTGAAAAAGAATGTAGATCAAAAGGTGCCTACCCTACCTGTTAACAGAAAAAAACATCATAGTTTCTTCTAGAAAAGAATTCATAGTAGGTCGGTCTCTTAAATGTTCTGAGTTGCTATACTTTTTCAACGTGGAGAAAAATCATTCTACAATAACTGTCTAAAAAAAAGTATGGAAAGACACAGAGACAATAAATGAGTGGTTCCGAGAGTGGTTCACTCTATTTCTACTATAGTGACAAAATATTTTTACCCGAATCACAAAAATTGTCCAATTCGTTGTCTCTACAATTTTTTGTATAACAATAATTATAACAATGGCTCCGAGTGGCTGCACATGAAAATTACAATTTACAATTGAGAAAGCTTTTCAAGACAATTGCATATGAATGAAGACGTGCATTCCTCATGTCGTTGACATGAAATATCCAGGAGAGAGTTGAGAATTATACTTATTAGTCAGTAATAAAAATATGCCATAGCTCAATATGGGTACAGGATATAAAAAAACTAAAATGGCAGCGAGATCGGCAGTCAGCTTTCTCAAAATCTCAACAGAGTCAAAGAATGAATTTTGGGTTTTGTTGTATTATTGGGAATCGATTTTTTTCGACGGCTTGTATTATGTAATATGGGTTTTACGTGTGTGCCGGATATTATTGAATATGATTCACTAATTAATCGAAATGTGGGTACGACACCATGTTGCGCAAAATTAAAGAAATTACTTATTCCGGTTACGACTCAGGCGAAAGAACAAAACAATATGTCGATGGTCGATGGGTGATGACAAATCGAAACTTTCGTTTTCAGAATATAGAGATATCTCTTTGTATAATATACTATAGCGAAGAGAGAAGAAGAATCAATTTGAAAATGGAGGCGTTCTCTTCAACCTTCACTTATTTCTTTGAAATCTGTATCAGTTTTTGATATTGAAATAAAAGGATGTACACAATACCTATGTATAAATAAGTGGCAATTCAATATTGCAAGATGCATACATAATGATTGAAACTAGACCATGAGGGTACTATTTTTGTCGTAAACTGAATAAATAAATATTCACAATAGTGAAAATTGTGTGATATATATATAAATGCAACTCTAAGAACTTTCAATAACAATATACCGCGGGTTTCTCAACTGGCAAAAGATCATGATCAAGTGATGAATATCACCAGTATCAGAACTATCCTTAACAATAGCGGTTTCATAATATTTTTCCTTAAAAGGAACATTATATGAAACCTATTTCATCACGTTCCCACTCCATATTTTTTACCTATTCAATACCCACCTCCATTAAGCTAGCAGAACCATTTTTGAAAACACATTTTGGCAAATTGTTATTTGTTTTACTATAGGCATTCAGCCATTTTTCTTGCCGCTTGGTGAGAAAAAAAGCATTACATCAAACCACACAAAATTCAAGAGTGAACTGAAGAAATATTTTGTATCAATAATTCAACTCTCAATACCACAGTGTCAGTTCTCCTGTCAATATTGATTAATTCTGATTCAACTGTTGATCTTCAATTAACCTAATTGGATATTACATTTGTTGATTTCTTTAGCTTCTTTTTCTCTTATGGACGAAGAAAAATATGAAAAATCCAACGTGGTTCTGCTAGCTTAATGGAGGTTACATTTATTTATGTATGCATGTCGTGTTTTGAAATTCCACATATGAAACCAGATATAATGCCCATTTTGTGGGTACCTAGGTAACCTACCGTTAGCGTACCGTTACCAAAATCGTGATTAAGGAGTGTCGAATTTCTTAAACAACTTGAAAGAAATATATTGCCTACAAATTCAAGGAAGCCTATGTATATGAGTATATACACCAATAAACTATTTACATTGAGTTCAATGAAGTACACATGTCAAATTATTACACCAATAGGCATATATACTTTACCCATCAACTTGTTCAAACGTAAACTAAGATGATTCACCTCATGAGTCTTTTGACTTTTACATTGAACTATTCATACTTGTATTCTCAAAAGAAAAATAAATTATTATTATTATTATTTTTATTAATATTATTATCATTTAAGGCATTTGTGTCGAACACATTCCCAATTTTCCAATTTGTTATATACTTACTTATATTATGTGTTGCTCTTATTATGTTAGATACACTCAACCGCCTGCACACAGGTTTCGGGCTGATGGCCAGAAAGGCCCTCATCAGTAAATGATTAATTTTTTCCGCTTCGATAAAATATTTTGTGAAATCGTTGAATTTATTCGAGTATCTGTCGATCCGCCAGATGGCGCCGATCGTTCGATGTTCTGTCCTACCGTCGATGTGCTGTTGAAAATCCACAAATAGGACACATTTTCATGTCATAATTATAGCGATACCGACCCTATTTACTATTTTTATTTCGTACATGAATACAACCTTTCTAAATGTCTTTCGAATCAGTCATAATTGTCTCGATTGGTTTCTCTCCAGTATGCATTGTGTAATGTCGCACGACATTCGAAAGGTTTCTCTCCAGTGTGTATCGTTTAATGTTTCTCGATTTATGGGTAGTATCTAGGGTTGGTGCGCAAGTATTGAATCTAATAAAAATAGAATACTTTAGTAAGCCGAAAGCAAAGATTACTGAATAGTTTATCTTCTGTAGTCTATGCCGAAAGAGTGGAAAATACAATTTTATGTCGGCGGGAGTAGATTAGTAGAAAGTCAGGGGCAGAAGTCTCGTATTATTTCCTTGAAAGTTAATGTGGCATATTTTCTCCCTAGGGAGTTAATACCAACTCTACATTTTCCGCATAACTCTGCGCTTTCTTTTGGGAACACCCGCATCTCTGAAGCGAGTATAAGATGCATTATACAGATTTCCAGATCTCACTGGTACCAAATTAAGAATCACTGCAGAAGCAGTATCAATAGTTTTTTGGGGTTTCCCTCGATTTTTTGTTCTATAACCGTTAACCATTTTCAAAGCTGTTGATATATGCTGTCACCGCGCGGGTTTTGTCTAGTCACAGCTAGTCCTAAATATCCTAATTTTCAACAATATAAAAATCCGAACTAGTGCTGAAAAGTTACCTACTCTTCTGCACGATTTTATCTAAAATGTCATTACCAGTCATTTTCAACCCATCAGATGATTTATTTGGACATTGATACTATGTTATATCGAAGACTGGAACCTTTGGCACGATAATACACTACACACTGTTTTAGCATATTCAGGAGAAGATCAAAACTAATCAATATACGTGTAGTAAGGACAAATCAGATGATTTGCCCCAAAATGTCACTGCGTTTAATGAAAAGCTTAATGACATCACTCTTATTGATATAAATGATACTCTTGTTAGTTTTGATGTAGGAAGTTTGTTCACAAATGTTCCAATAGATAAAACTTTACAAATAGTGAAACATAAATTAGAAGACGATGAAAATCTCACTGAATGAACTAATCTAAGTATCGAAGGAATAATGGAATTTTTGGAATTGTGTCTAAACACAACATATTTTCAATTGGGTGATGAGTTTCATCAACAAAACTTGGGAATGGCCATGGGATCGCCAATTTTAAGCAATATATTCATGGAGAATATTAAAGACAACATCGTCAAAAATTACCAAAAACAACCTAAAACATGGTGGCGATACGTAGATGATATTTTCATAATTTGGCCTCATAACATTATGGAGCTAAATAATTTTCAGGATTATGCGAACAATGCCGAACCTACAATAAAGTTCACTTTGGAAATTGAATCTAATAATCAATTACCGTTTCTAGATGTTCATATTGAAAAATCAAATAACATCTTTGTAACGAGTGTATATCGTAAAAAGACCCATACTAACAGATACTTGAACTTTCAATCAAATCATCAGAAAAGTATTAAGAAAGGAATGATCAGATCACTCCATGATAGAGCCAAATCAATATCATCTGACCAACTAATTTTCAATAACGAAGTCTACCACATTAAAAATGTTCTCCAACTCAATTCCTATCCAAAGAATTTTTTCGATTCATCAAATTGAAAACAAACAGGGTCAACCACAACAAAATCAACCATCAATAACGACAAATATAATACATTGAGATCAATTCCAACTCGAACAAAGCCGAAAAATTGAGAACAAACGTCAAAAAAATTGTATTTACAGTAGACCTTGTGTTTGTGGAAAGTTTTATACAGATCCAAGAGACCTCTTTCAGTAAGGACGAAGAAACATAAGTACAATATAAAGAGAAGAAACATCGATAAATCGAAGACGGACAACATATGGCAGAGTGGAATAATATTAAAATCATTGGAAAAGAAGATAACAACCAGAAGAGAAAAATCAATATTGAAATAATATTCATATTTTTATTTTATAGAAACGAGGAGAGAAAAAATTTGGAATAATGAATCTAAGATATGTTACCAAATCTAGTAACCCAACCTAAGATATGTTACCAGATCTAGTAACCCAACCTAAGATATGTTACCAGATCTAGTAACCTAACCTAAGATATGTTACTAGATCTAGTAACCTAACCTAAGATATGTTACCAGATCTAGTAACCCAACCTAAGATATGTTACCAGATCTAGTAACCCAACCTAAGATATGTTACCAGATCTGGTAACCCAACCTAAGATATGTTACCAGATCTAGTAACCCAACCTAAGATATGTTACCAGATCTAGTAACCCAACCTAAGATATGTTACCAGATCTAGTAACCTAACCTAAGATATGTTACTAGATCTAGTAACCTAACCTAAGATATGTTACTAGATCTAGTAACCTAACCTAAGATATGTTACCAGATCTGGTAACCCAACCTAAGATATGTTACCAGATCTAGTAACCCAACCTCAGATATGTTACCAGATCTGGTAACCCAACCTAAGATATGTTACCAGATCTAGTAACCCAACCTAAGATATGTTACCAGATCTAGTAACCTAACCTAAGATATGTTACCAGATCTAGTAAACTAAGATATGTTACCAAATCTAGTAAATTAGGTCCGTTTCGGGTCTGATCTGGACCAATTGGGGACATTTTGAGGACGTCTGAGGGGCGTTCGAATTCAGGTCGGTTTCAGGTCAAAAATAAAATTTTCTGATTCAGATAATACATTATATAATATATATTGATAGAAGTTTACATGGCAAATGAATATTGATTGAAGAACTTTCTTCTTTGGATTTCTCAGACTTGCACCTATCGATTTCAATTCTTATTTGATGTGGCACTCATCCTCTCAGCAGATATCTTCAGTCAGCTCTATGTGCAGGCTTCGGTGGATTCATGATCCTTCGTTATGCCAGGTTTTTGCGCAGCTCCTTGAAAAAAAACATGAAAATTTGTAGTACTTTTCCTATCGATTTCAGTGTTTTCAACTAACTGATATATCGCGAAATATAAGAGTTTTCTACACAGGAAGATGCTATACCGGGTGACAAAGGAGACATGTAGCAGCCTGTAGTTTTTTTATTTGAAGAGATAAAATTTTGAAATTCACAGGGGGTATATAATATATGGTAGCGCACTTTACGAACTTAACGACAATTTTTTTCGACTACCTGTTTGACCGGAAGTGACCCCAACTTTTTTTTTTAAATGTCACCCTGAACTTTTTTTCAGTCTATCTTTTTCGCCTTAAAATTCTCTATCCAACCATGTATCACAAAGCGGCATTTATTTCTTGATTCGCTGTTGAATTGCTTTTTATTCAAAAAGAATAAGTTGGCTGTAACATGAATTCCATGGTATATCGACACTTGGTGGCTTTGAAATTCAAATATCATTAGTAAACCGATATTATTCAAAATGTTTCGATATTCTCATCAATGTCTGCAGATTGTCAATAGCTTGTTTGAGTCAAGATGAAAACCTTCGAAAATAACTCATGATATTGAGGAATCTAAGATAGGAACATATTTTTTCGAATTCAGCTACTCGTACAGAAACTATCTGTCTTTTATTTTCGCCATGTACCTATCACATGATCTTCCCATTTGGAATAATAAAACTAAAATTGTTCCTCTTATACGATGATCCACAGGGCTACAGTCTATTTTTTCATAATTATTTCACTTAGTAGGCGGTGTACCTACACAAAATGTTTTATGTGTTTGACAGTTAATCGATTGCATCAATAATTTTTCTTCTTCATTTGTGTGTTGATTGAAATTGCATATTAACAACATATCGACTTTTTCGTTTCTTGAATACATTTAGGTTGGTTTACTAGATCTGGTAACATATCTTAGGTTAGAGCGTTACTAGATCTAGTAACATACCTTAGGTTGGGTTACCAGATCTGGTAACATATCTGAGGTTGGGTTACTAGATCTGGTAACATATCTTAGGTTGGGTTACTAGATCTGGTAACATATCTTAGGTTGGGTTACCAGATCTGGTACCATATCTGAGGTTGGGTTACTATATCTGGTAACATATCTTAGGTTGGGTTACTAGATCTGGTAACATATCTTAGGTTGGGTTACTAGATCTGGTAACATATCTTAGGTTAGGTTACTAGATCTGGTAACATATCTTAGGTTGGGTTACCAGATCTGGTAACATATCTGAGGTTGGGTTACTAGATCTGGTAACATATCTTAGGTTGGGTTACTATATCTGGTAACATATCTTAGGTTGAGTTACTAGATCTGGTAACATATCTTAGGTTAGGTTACTAGATCTGGTAACATATCTTAGGTAGGTTAGGTTACTAGATCTGGTAACATATCTTAGGTTAGGTTACTAGATCTGGTAACATATCTTAGGTAGGTTAGGTTACTAGATCTGGTAACATATCTTAGGTTGGGTTACCAGATCTGGTAACATATCTGAGGTTGGGTTACTAGATCTGGTAACATATCTTAGGTTGGGTTACTAGATCTGGTAACATATCTTAGGTTGGGTTACTAGATCTGGTAACATATCTTAGGTTGGGTTACTAGATCTGGTAACATATCTTAGGTTAGGTTACTAGATCTGGTAACATATCTTAGGTAGGTTAGGTTACTAGATCTGGTAACATATCTTAGGTTAGGTTACTAGATCTGGTAACATATCTTAGGTAGGCAGCTGCTGAACTTCTCCAAGGCAGTCGGCATACCCAGCTGAATGTCGTAACATGTGGGCGCACAATGGGCCCGAATAAGGAGGCCCACGTGCAGGGGGTTCACCCGCCCACCAGTGCTTCGAAGAAGAAGAAATCTTCTTGTGTACTTGGGATTGGAAAGGATTGGGATTTTTCTCGAATTCTTATTATCCGCTTGAAAAGACGTAGGATTCCTGAGTGATAACTTGAATTTATGTTTGCTCAGAGGAAATGAAACTAGTCCATGTTCATGTTCAGAGTATATTCTTAATTTTCACACCAGCTGAAAAAATAATTAATTAGAGAAGTGCACAAGAAATCCCTGCCGAGAGCGGCAAAAATCCAATGTTTTTTTTTAAATGGTGACAACTTAAATTTTCAATTTTCTCATTGCAGCAATAGAAGACCACTACTCGAACTCCTTCATCTCCCCGAATTCCGCTGGCCACCTCCTCGATGAAGAAGACAACCACTCAATCCAGCCGACTCGCACATCCGGCAACGTCGCCGAGTTGCCTCCCTCCGACGTTGCCACGTCTCCGCAGATGAAAAAGCCTTCGTTTTCTTCGCCGGTTGTCGAAACTGTCGAGATGAGGGAAACGAGGACGAGACGGGAAGCGAACCCGCAACCGATTTTGTCGAAAACTTCCAGCAGCGACGACTTGATTTTGTATAAGAACGTGGAGGAGGTGTTGGAGAGTAATGATGTGGAGTTGTCGGGGAGGATAGGGGGGTTCATACAGCCCTCGAAAACTGTGAGTATTTTTTTTTATCTTTTGAAGCGCACGAAAGAAAATTTCTATAATATTAAATAAGTTCAAGCAATATATGCAGTAGGCAGTAGGTTTGACATTCGATTTCAACTGACTTAAATCAAAAGGCATCAAAAGTACAGGCAAGTCATGACCTAGAGATGTTGGAGTATGTTGAATTATAGTTATTAGTTTGGAAATAAATGTTATGATTTTATTATTTACCTATTGGTTCTAGAAAAGAGTCTGCAACGATCATATAATGGCTATTAATTTATATTCATATTGTATAATTATTTATAACTATTATTGTTCACCATTTATTTACACATTGTACACATTATTGGTGATGTTGTCCATGTTGTCATGCATACAACATAATTTTGTTATACAATTGAGAATTTGATAAACAACTGTCAATGACAAAAACTTGAGCATAAAAAATATATAATTTCTTTATTGAACTGTATGAAATGGGATATTTCGGTAGGCAAAACCAACATATGGTCCTTCGAGCCGGATCCTGTAGGTTTGTGCCTATAGAAATATTGGGCTGGTCCCCACTTGATACAGTTAGTATGGTGGTTCAATAACGAGATTATATATTTTTTCGATTTTCTGAAAATTCGCGAGACAAGCCAACGATTTAATGTATTTACCTACATTTTGCGTGCAATATGAAGATAACAACCCTTCAGGGGTTGCTGGAATCAACCCCCACAGTTCACACTCATTGGGAAGCTGGTTTAAAGCGGAATCTAGCGTACTGATAAAATTTCAGTTTGCAGTACGTTTGGGGGTTGCATGAAATTAAAATATAAATTTCAAAGTATAATATAATTTCAACCTATTTTCGTTGAAATTTAGATTTTCAGTGATATAAGGCATCATCACCAGTTTGCAAAAACACTTCGTTTCGAACTGTGAATTCGGCAAAAATAGGAAATTTCTTTCTGCGGCCCTTTAAAAACACTAGATACAACAGGAGATGGCAGTTGTGGCAAAAAATTGCCATCAATTGCTCAACACACATTTTGAGCAATTTTTACGTTGAAAAGAAATTTAATTCCAAAATTACATTTCAGTTTTATTCAACCCTTGAACGAATAAAAAACTAAAGTTTGACTAGTACGCTGGATTCCTCTTTTCACCAGTTAAAAATACCAAAAAAAATCATAGACACTAATTCTCATCCATGAAGAAATAATTCGATGTCAGATTCAGTCGAGAACTCTCCCTTTAGATTTTTAAAATTAGCCAGTTCATATGCAATGCAGTATAGGTTTATAATACAGGTCGAAAAAATTGTTTTCGTGATTGAAGAGTCCCAAAAAATTCATAGATACTAATTCAGACCCATAAAGATAGATTTCGATGTTAGATTTAGTAGAAAACCTCCTCTTTGTATTTCCAAAGTTAGCGGTTCACGCAATGCAGCATGCTCAAACAGGTCGAAAAATTTTTTTTTTCATTGCCCTAAAAATCCCCTAAAAACTATTATTACCTTTATTCACACATTTGGTGATGTTGTCAATGTTGTCATGAATACAATATAATTTTGTTACACAGTTGGAAAATTAATAAACAACTTTTAATTTCAGACTGAAGTATAAAAAATATATAATTTCTTTATTGAACGCTCCGTTTTCGAGAAAGAACGAAAAAACGAGATGAAACTTCGTATTTTGATGTAAATGCTAAGCTTGAGTACTCCAATCAGGACAGCTATTACTGGATAACCACAGCATGTAACATTTTGAAATTTTTGCACCGTTTCAGTCACATAGCAGAATACATTTTGCCATTAGGAAAAGCTATACAGGGTGGAAAAAAAAATCTTATGTGTATGTTCAACTTTGATACCCTGTATCTCAAAAGTTGGGACGTTTGCGACATACGTTTACATGAAGTTTTATTCTTGAAATGGGTCCAAGAATCGCCCCCTTGAATATTAGCATGTCATTAAGGAACACCCTGTAGATGAATGAAAATATATTCAAATTAAACATAATATATTTTATTATACAGTGTCTTTCAAAAGTATCGGAACGGTCTCATATTTCAGGAACGGCTTGAGAAAAATTCACGAAATTTTCTACAGGGTGATTATTGATGATGTCCGATTCAATGGTGGCATCGGCAATGTTGCCAAGTTTACAGTTTTCCAGATATTAGGAGTAACTTTATTTTTTCAAATGGAATACCCCATTTATTTTTATTGCAATTAATTAAGCGCCTCCTAATTACTTGAGTCCCTAAATATCAGATTCGTAATTAACGTGATTTTCGAAATATGACAACATAGCATTTTCGTTAAACAGTTCTGGAACGGTCCCATATTTCAGAAACGGCTCAGAGAAAATTTATGAAAACTTCGGCAGGATGGTTGTTGATGATGCCCGATTCAATGGTGATATCGGCAATGTTGCCAAATCAACAGTTTTTCAGAATTGATCGGGGAGCTGAATTGATTGCAACGAAAATAAATAGGGTTCTCCATTTGAAAAAAATTGAGTTACCCTCAATATCTGGAAAACTATTGATTTGGCAACATTGCCAATATCACCATTGAATCGGGCATCATCAGAAACCATCTTGTATAAAATTTCATGAATTTTCCTTGAACCGTATTGAAAATATTAGAAGGTTCCCAGACTTTTGAACGAAAATGCCATGTTGTCATATTTCGAAAATCACTTCAATTTGAAATCTGATATTTGGAGACATAAGTAATGAGGCGTCGCTGAATGTATTGCAATGAAAACAAATAGGGTATTCCATTTGAGAAAATTGAGTTACCCTAAATATCTGAAAAACTGTTGATTTGGCAACAAAGCCGATATCACCATTGAATCGGACATCATCAATAATCACCCTGTAGAAAATTTCGTGAATTTTTCTCAAGCCGTTCCTGAAATATGAGACCGTTCCGATACTTTTGAAAGACACTGTATTGCTCTTTTTCTTTCTTGGAGAATTCCTACTTAGAGCGGTCGGGGGAAGACGTGGGGGCTCCGCAGCACGAAGCGCGGTCGTTGCGCGAGCCCCCAGCACCGACGGCGACGGCGAGACAGATCGCCCCCACTGCGACGACGACGCCGAAGGATTCTGTTTCCCGGTCCGCCCCACCGCCGGACAGGCCGCGCCAGGCCAACCCTGATATCCAGGACATCATCACGGGCCTTGTCAAGTTGCTCAATGGTGAGGATTTGAGAAAAATATTGTTTTTTCTTATGAGGAAGTTTCCAATATTGGGGTGTTTATCTCAGTGTGGAGGTTGTGAAATTCGAATATATCACGTGTGTCCCAAATTCGATAAAATAAATAATAACAAGTCGGCCCAACTGACGGCAACATTTGAACACTTCTGAGCGGTTTGTTTTGATGGATATGATCAATAACCACAAACAAAAAACGAATGTGAACCAATGGAAACAAAGTAAACAGACCGCTTTGACAGCTTTCAGAAACTCCGATAGGTAGCGAACGCTTATTTTCTATCGCGAATAGAGACTCGATCGGTTAGATTCAGAAAGTTTCAGAAAATTCAATCGTGATTTAGAATCCGTCGGGAAATCTTGACTAGCTTCAGTCATTTCTGAGTTATTCAAGAAGTGAAATTTTGTATTCTCAAATATCTTGAAAACTATTGATTGTATCGTATGAAAAGACGGGGAAATATAATTTGCTGACCAAAATTATCAAAGTATACTGAACAAGCATTTCTGGTTCGAATTTTTGCTTCAAATTGCATATTTGAATATTCTAAATGAATATATAGATGCCACCAGTAAAATAATTCCGATCCACCCCATCGAAAGGGGTAGTTTATTCTTGCAGTTTTTCAAAAATCCTTGCTGACCGAACATTTCTTGTACGTATTTTTCCATCTAATCACCCCCTGGAGGACTGGATCGAAATAATTCCATATCCAAATATGTAATTTGATAGAAGAATACGATCCAGAAATGCTCGGCCAGCAAGGATTTTTGAAAAACTGCAAGAATAAACTACCCCTCTGAAAGGGTGGATCGAAATAATTCTACTGGTGGCATCTATAAATCTATATGAGATATCCAAATATGTAATTTGATGGAAAAATACGAACCAGAAATGCTCGGTCAGCAAGGAATTTTGAAAAACTGCAAGAATAAACTACTCCTCTGAAAGGGTGGATCGAAATAATTCTACTGTCTGGTTTTTGTTTGTGTTTTGTAATCGTCGTGTTTTTTACCGGTGAGTGCTAATGAACGTGCAAAGTGCATGCAATGGTTCATGTAGGTTCTGCATTATTGTTCAAAATTTAAAAAATCTATATTTTCTTAATACTTGAATCTATATTTTCTGTTGAACAGAAGATATTGACGTGAATAAAAAACCATTGTGTTAAGAGTAGACTTCAATCCAGAATATAATAAAACTAAGTTTAACCACTCACTTTTGAAACAGGTCGTTGAAAATTAAGTTAAGGGTGAAAGAATAACGTTCGTTTTTTCCTGCAGAAGATCAAGCCATCAGCTTTTCTCAAGAAGTAAAATTCAAGCTAACTTTATACCTTGATTCACCATTTGGTGAAAATTCCACGAAAATCGGGCGAAAATTAAAAAAGTTACAGGGCGATCAATTTGCTTATGTTGTTTACAGACATTGAAGCGACCGAACGTGTTATAGAGTACGATCTCTGTGAGTGGAAAGCAGCAAATCTATAAAATATTTCAACGCTCCTACGATGCTATGATCATTTAGAGAAACCCCGTACAATTTTATGTAATAATAATAATAATAATAATCTTCATTATTCCCAAGAAACATTTATGTTTATAGCAGGAAAAATTATGGAAGACCACAAAAAAAAATTAGATGATCAGATAATCATTTTTTTTTCCACCACTAGCTATAAAACCTACCATTATTTATTCCTTTTCGAGGCGTAAAATGTGTTTTTACTACCAAGGTGGTTTTCGTCATATTATGACCACTAGTCAATGAACACATAGCCACCTCTGTTTTAATCAACCCGATTGCACTGTTCTGATCCGAGATTCGCAGGAATGACACTCTAATTTAGTAGATATTTATCAATAATGACTTGTCATAATATGCTGTCATGGTCATGGCTAAGAGCTGTCATAGTGACAATGGGTCCATATTTCGGTTTCACATGACTAAAATGATTGAAATAATTATATTCCTAGTGGTGACAAAAATTTTATATAAACCTCGGTAGAATATTATTATCACGGGACCAAATATCCCTCGGCTAAAGCCTAGGGATATAATCTTGGTCCCTGGGCAATAATGATATTCTTTACTACCTTGGTGTATAAATAACTGTGAAATAATCATATACATAGTACATAATATAATGTTGTTTCTTCTAGAGACTGTTGAATATAAGTTCTTGAATTGATTTAGGATGATATAAGAGAATGAGAGACATGAGTATTTTTTCGTTTCTTTTTTGACTTCTCAACACTTATTTTTTTCTTCAGTCTGGCAGGTAATTCATTATAGAGAATTGTTCCATTGTATAAAATCGATCTTTTACCTATACCTGTTTTAATTTTGATGAGAATAAACATATCATTTAATCTGGTTATGTGTTCGTGTTTATGACTATTGACTCCAAAATTCAGATTTGAATGTTTATAATAATTATATTTGACGGAATGGATGAAATTTAATATTTTGAATTTGTAAATGGTGTTAATATCTAACAATTGCCCTAGGTTTATGAAGATTTCTTGTTGGTTCCAAGTAATCTAGTTTGTATATACATTTAATAACTTTGTTTTGAAGGATTTTGATTTGCTTTATAATTGATAACCTAGCTGTACCCAAAACTGATATCAAGTTTTGTAATTTTGAATAAACAAAGGAAAAATATGTACATTTTAAGTATTTCAAAGGGCTTTTGGTGCCTGATCCTGTAGAGTACTCCGATTACTGAAGATATTTTCTTTCTGATCGATTATTCAATATGTTTGGCCCATGACAATTGTTCATCAAGGAATATCCCAAAGAATTCGATGGCTGTGGAATATTTGATGATGTCATTATTAAATTTGATATCCATTTCACTTAAGAGGCGTCGTTGAGCTGAATGAATGAATGCTGATTTGCTGTAATTATTATTGACATTGACGTTTGATTCTGTAGGTAACGTGAACGTCCAAGCTAACACAGCGCCGGCTATGGGACGCCCGCTGCGCCCTCTGTCGACCAGAATAAACAACAGGGGCCCACCTAGGATAACGGATATGCCGGCTCTGCCTCCCGATTTCGATGTGCCGGCGCCCCTACCACCACCTGCATTAGGTAAATCGAAAAAAAAAAAAAAAACAAATTGAACACAAAGTAATATTTTGTGGAGAAATATTCTTGTCAAAACGAAGGAATGTGGATTTTTGCCAAGATGGAATGATTAAGTTTACATTCTACATGCCATAGCAATATTTCATAATTCTATATCAAAGTTGACAGTTATTATAGACGTATATTCCTTGTACGAAATAATTATGTCAATCTAGTCTCACTTCAACCGTGATGTATTTTTATTGTGCTTGAGGGGTGAAGAAATACCTACATGAAATATCAAATATATACAGGTCGTGCATAAAATGTTGTACCTATGTATTTCGGGCGTAACTAGCTTTTATCTACCTTGGCGTGTATATTCACATCACGGTCCTATTCACACGTGAAATCTATCGGATTTCGTGAATAATTAATTTGACAACAGCAAATGACAGTTGTTGTCAACTGACTCTCCGCGCATACCAGGGTTGCCAGTTCGATTTTCATTCCATCAGTAAATACCTTGTCAAAAATTCAGTGGATTTCAATAGATCTATGAGTTCAAAACATTATGTAAGTACTTTTAGTAAACAGAAAAGTACCTAACCTATTTCCAACAAAATAGGAGGAAAAATATTCTCATACAAAAATAATCATATTCCTAATGCTAAATTCGAAAATAATATCACAAATTACAGTTACATAGGTACTTATAAGATTTGAGTACATAAAAAAACAGGGACGAATAGTTAAAATTGACAACAAAAATATATAAAAAATGAAAAAAATAAACGTAAGAATCAAACTGTTATAACAGAGAGGTACATACAAAATTGAATTTGATCTGTGTGTGTGTGATTTACTAATGATTAATAATAATATAGGTAATTATAATCATGAATAAGTGTCAAAATATTAGAACATAAAATGTGATTCTTTGTAGATACGAAAAAATATATTTTGTACAGCAGGATTTTTGCCAAAAAAAAACACTGCTATTGTTAGACAATGAGAAAGAAAAAGAGAAGAAAATTGAAATGGAAAAAAATACCAAGGAACCAATTAAATGAGATGACATAAAAATGAGACTGGAGATTGGAACAACATAAAAAAAGGGTGGACCTAAAAATCATTTCTTATAGACCAGAGATAACAGAAATTTTCAATTGATTTCACATTTGCTTATGTCGTATTTTGAATATCAACACTTTCATTATAATTATGTTGACAATATGATGTTGCTGCACTCCTTCCTGACTGATTTTACGAGATTTATTGATATGCTTGTATAGCATTTATTCATTAGACATAATCTACAGACCTATATTCAATAGAAATTAAAATTTTACTTGTAGCATTGTTTTTGCTGAATAAAATTTGAATTTGATCTATTCAATTTCCCTTGAAATAATTTTAGCAAATTTCAATTCTCTCAATTTCTCTCAGATCACTATGAGCTGGTTTCTTATTTTATAAATTTGTTGTTGTTGTTGTTCTTTATTACCCCATTTAGGTGTGGTGAATGAGTGAATGTGTTCTAAACAACCCTAATAAATTAATGCGGATATTCAATATTACTTAATTAATAATCAAAACTACTTGTATTCCAACACAAAAAAAAATATTTTTTTTTTCCAAAAGGCCCCATGCCCCCACCATTAACAACCACTCGCCTGCCGGCCCCCTACCCCTTCGACGTGCCCCCCAACCCGTCGAACACCTCCCCCGCCAACACCCGCCCCTTCTACCGACCGCCCTCGGGGGGCGGCCCTCCCTGGAAACGCCGGCGGCCGCCCCCCTATCACAAACCGCCCCCTTACAAGCCGCTGCCCCCCATCGACATGGTGAGTCTTACGTCGACGGAGAAGCCTTCCGAAGACGTTTTGACGCTGGATTTGGGCGGGCATTTGGGGGAGGTGGGGGTTGAGGAGGAGGAGGAGGAGGAGGGGGGATCAGGAGGGGGAGAGGGTGGAGAGGTGGATAAGGAGATCGCGGAGTTCGAGAGGAACAAGGAGAAGGTGAGTTTTTTTGCGAATTTTGCATGTCTGTTTGAACATTATGACATTAAGAGAATATTTATTTATTTATTTATTTATTCATTGAACAAATAACTTCCAGACAGAATAGGCTCTGGTATAAGGAAGTACATAATTATATACCTATAGGTAAACATAGCATCATTCAAAATATATCAACAACTGTAAATTGGCAAACAAAGAATAATATTTGAAAAAAAAAGGGCATGATTAATTTTGTCCAGTCCGCTCAGAAATAATCAGTTTTTTTACTTCATTTTTGAATATACCTATATTTCTGCAATTTTTTATATTATCAGGTAGTTTATTGAATTCAGTTAAGACTGAATGAGTGAATCTTTTTTGTCCGATTAGGGAGCTAGCGGCGTCAAGATGGAACAAGTTATATTGTCTAGTTTCATGATTATGAATTTCAGAATTCCATATCAAAATAATATTCGACTTCAATTTTTTATTTATGATATTATATGATATTTTAAGTTTCAATTCTATATATTTCATCTAAAGAATACGTATTTGTTATTTCATACAATTGATTGGTTGGTGTATCAAATGGGAGACGATACAATACTTTTAACGATTTTCTATATAATGTTGATATTTTATTGAAATTATTTTTTGAACAAGTTCCCCAAACATTTATTAAATAGTTGATACGACTCAGTATATGAGAGTAGAGAATCATGTTTGCAATTTTAATATCAAGTTTGGGACATCTTCTCAATGCACCAATAATTGGAGATATTTTTTTTGTCAGAACATCAATATGTTTGTCCCACTTCAACCTGTCATCAAACCAAATACCAAGATATTTTATCTGGTCAGTTTGTTTCAAGAGTTCATTTTTGATTTTAAGGTTGGGGTAAATTTTACTGAATATCCTTCTAGTGCTACTTAGTAGTAGTTGTTTGAAAAATCGGTTTGGTTAGTGGTGAAACAGTGTAGTGGATTATCACGCCAGAGGTTCCAGTCTTCGATTTACTATTTTTATTATGCAGCAGACTTTCAAAATCGATTTATTTCAAAAATGGTGAGTGCGATCGAAACTCACCAAGAGTACGTACCATTTTTGAGTTGAAATGACGATATTTTCATAGGGACTGCCAAAAATTGCATAAACAAAGAAGTTGGGGTAACGAGTGCCCGTTGTCCCACCTATTTTCCACACCCCTGAACAAATTTCCGGAAAATTCTTATCAATTTCAAACTGGGCATGAAAAGTTAGATAGATACATGTAGAAAATTCGGTTATTTTATCACAGGCTGTTTCGAAAATACACCTCGTCATTTTCTCGATTTCAGGTAACCAAATTGGACAAATACACCAGCAAAACGACGATCGTGACCCCTACATTCAACACCGCCTCCAATGCCACGAGCATTCAAGAACAACCCTCTATATCCGACACCACGACCACCCCACCATCGGAATCACAAATCTCCACCACAACCACACCTACCACCAAACCCTCCGACTCTTCAATCGCCCCTACTTCTGTCCCCGAAATGACGCCAACACCGACAGTGACTGACAGTGATGTCACTAGGGGAGCTGTCAATTCGAATGCAACAAGTGTTTCGAATGCAACAAGTGTTGCGGACGTGCCACTTGTTGAGTCTTCTATTCAGGAGGTTGCGCAGACCATGAAGGAGGAGGCCGGTAGTTTGGCCAGTATGGAAACTGAAAAATTGCCGATTACCACTGCTGTTCTGGCCAGTACTAGCAGTTCTTTCGGTGCTAGTGGTAGTAGCGAACTCGAATCAACATCTTCTCCAGGTTGGTATATTGACATAAGATTAATCTGTAATGAAAGTTCATAGAATATTTTTTAATGTGATGTCAATTTTTTTTTCAACAGTCATCAATCGATAACGTTTTGAATGATGCAAGTAGTGAAACTATATCGGTTCTTCAGGATGTGACAGCTCGTCCAAAAAATGTAAAAAAGTTTTTATTAACTCACCAATAAAATGAACCACTCCCGAGATACAGGGTGTTGAAATTTGAAAAAAAAAATCGATCGTTTTCTGCTAATACTTTCAAAAAGTATAAATGCCTATGAATTAACATCACTCAAACTCCCGTTCATTTCAAGATCTTTTATCATAAATTAACTTTTCCAAAATAAAACATGTAGTTTCGATCAGGCCAGCGGATTTCATAGACGTCAATTTCTCTAGAATTAGCAAAAACCGCTTACCGTGCGATAATACCTAGGAGGTAAGCAATATCGAAAGGTAATGGCCATTCCCATTGCGGAAAATTGCGAATTTAGCATCGATTTCAAACATCAATAGAACCCGAATCTACAAGGCATGGTCATTATTCGTTCAATCGTCACTACCAATTATTATATTAAAATCAGTACATAACACTCATTCATCGATTGCTGACTTCCAAAGTGGCACTATGCCACTTCGGGGGTGTGACATCTCCTCGACTTTGGGGCTGCTGCCCATAACATAATGTAAGTACTAAGAACCATCATCTTGTTCTTGTTGTTCGCTCGTTTCATATTTATTTTGTTCTTTGCTGTTCCGCCTTTTTGGCACATTTTTATGTTTTCGTGATTGAATAAATTGTTTTTTGTACTTTTGAAAAACAATGCTCTTTATTTGGGGATGAATAATATGGTTGGGTGGTGAAATGATCAAAACCTCTCGTCAAAAAAGCCAAGCGAGTAGCGAGAGAGTTACGACATATAGGAGGTTTATTATGAGTAGAAAATGCTGACGAAAACTGTTTCCTGAGCGACAAACAGTTCCAGATAGACTTCATTTCGCGGACGTTGAACGCCTCGTGGGATGTAAATGCTGAGATGCGTTTACGTTGGGTCAAGTTCGCACCAGATAGCGGTCAAGAATGCTATCTGGGACAGCCTTGTACTGATGAGAGCCATATCAGCTCGAAACCGGTCTGCGTTCCTGAACCACGTAGGCGCAGCTCGGCGTTTAGGAAGGATACACTTGCGATTTTATCCGTCTAAGCGAATTATTGCATAGATTTCGGGAGGAAAGTAGTTGTTCTTCTCTTGTTATTCACCATTTTCGTTCATTTTATGAACTATTGTTGTATCTTGAAAATAGTGGGTTTTAAAGAGTATAAGTTAATAGGAACTTTTTTTAGTATTTTTGGACGTTCCATCACATCCTGAAGTACTGCGCATATATCATGAAACACCCTGTATAATGTTAAATCACGTTAAATCAATTATTGAGAGCCAAAGAACAAGGGTAAAGCGTCGCTAGTTCTCTTCTGAAACCCCCGAGATGTCACTCGATCAAACGATGGTTGGACTCTGTCTTTCCAACGGGTGCTCATGGTCCATAACCCGCACATCCCACTGGGAAGGGATATGGCATGAAACACATCAGTTAATTATTTTACTCGGCAAACTCAAAGAAACATAACTAAAGAATCTATGGTAAAAGTCCATGGTGTCTCAAAGTGGAGTGAATAGATTCATAAACAAGACACACAAAGTCATCTCCACAAATTTATTGACTGAGTAATCAGTATCTGTACATGTTTCGGACTATCAATAGTCCATCATCAGCAGCATAATTTAATTGACAATTTTCTACAAAGAAAGGTTTTTTATATAGTTACAAATGTTATGTTTAGGTTATGTATACTCACGTGGAAAGGAAAAGAGGAGAAGTTGATAAAATTATTGCATGGTACAAAGGGCTTTATGGGGGATCCCAACACTTGTTCATCAAAGTGATAACCGATGAAATGGGGCCCATCATGAGAATAATGGTTACCGTGACGTGGTATAGCGGTGAAGGGGGGGGGGGGGTTAGGTTGACACTTGACATAGGAAACTTGAAGTATGTATCCAATGACAAGTGACACAAAACTGTCCTGTGGCATAAACAAAGAATGTAAGGCAAGATGCGAGAAGAAGCAGGGCCGTTATGAGTCATTGTATATCATTTCCCTAGTGTCCCCGACAATAGAAGAAACATCCGGCTTCCCCTACTACCCCTACCGTCCCAGGCCGGGGATAGTTTTGGACGACACGGAGTACAAGCCGGGCGGCGTCCAGCGACAGCCGATCGTCACTCGCCCCCCTATCGGCCAGATCGGCGACATTTTCGACATCACGGTGTCCGCCATCCAAGGGCCTGGCGGGGGAGCTTCGGCTGGACAGGGGAAGCCTTACGTCATACCAGGTAGGCGATTATAGAAAAATTGTCTAATTATTAGAGGCTTGAGAAGGAACAGTACCTATGTACCTAAATTTCAAATCTGGAAAGATACATCATATTATGTCCTACATCAAGATGAGAACAGTCTCTAGGACTTCTTCGAATTTTTATTCATAATATGATAATCAAAATAGTAAGTGGACCACTTGAATGTTTCAACGGGCGATCAGAATGCAGTTTAAACAAGATGCGTCCATATAGAGTCATTCGTCCATACTGTTCGAGATCTAATGCAGTAGTGGTAATCATGTTTTCGGATTATTTTTAATGTCAGAATTTATATTGAACAATGTCTTGATCCCATAGTTATTATTTCAGTAGCCGAGTTAGAAAAAACGATTTTGTATATATACAGTGTCATTCATAAAGTCGGCATCATATGGGAAAAACTTTTATTAATGACTTATATTGAAATTCGAGTTGGACGTTGAGTTCTGCTTCAAAAAAGATGAAAAATGGCCTACTCAATCGGGGTCACGTGACTTTCGCTACATGTCAAATGTGACATTTTTTCAAATTAATCGCTGAAAGTAGGCTTATTTGTTCGAATATCGAAAAATATTACTTGAAAAAGTTGTTTCTATTTAAATTTTACATATGTGACTCGGATTTTATTTTTCTATTACATTTTTTAGATTTCGATATTTTTAAAAAAAAATTTCGAAATTTCTGTAATATATAAAAAATTGTAAATTCGATAAAACTACTTCATATCAGTAGTTTCATCATGCTACTAACTTTCAATTACTAATTACCACTAATCATCGACAAAAATATGATTCTCTTGTTTCTTCAGAAAATGATAACCTCCGCTTCAAAATTCTGTTATGTTTGATGCAAACATAACATCAAAATTCTGTTATGTTTGAGTCGAGCATTTAGAAACGAAATTCATTTAAATTTATTTTTTCAGTACTGAAAAGATCAGTTTAACGGAATTTTGATTCTAAATGCTTGACGATATATCAACTTTGCATCAAACATAACAGAATTTGGAAGCGGGTATTATCATTTTCTGAACAAAATCATATTTCTGTCCATAATCAGTGATAATAAGTAATTGAAAGTAAGTAGCATGAAGAAGCTACTGGTATGAAGTAGTTTCGTGGAATTAACAATTCTCCAAATATTATAGAAATTTCGAAAAATTAAAAAAAAAAATCAACATCTAGAAGATGCAAAAGAAAGATCAAATTCGAGAAGCATGTGTAAAATTGAAATAGAAACAACTTTTTCAAGTAAACTTTTTCGATATTAAAACAAATAAACCTACTTTCAGCGATTAATTTGAAAAAATGGCACTTTTGACATGTAGCGAAAGTCACGTGACCCCGATTGAGTAGGCTATTTCTCATCTTTTTTGAAGCAAAACTTAACGACCAACTCGAATTCCAAAATAAGTCATTAATAAAAGTTTTTCCCATATGATGCCGACTTTATGAATGACACTGTATATCATTGTTGATCTGAGAGAAGCTATTTGTTAGTTGGCAAGAGGTATGGTTTGGTATATAAATTTATGGAAAAATGTACAGCTTTGATTATCATCCTGTAGCATCTCATCCGGAAAAGATGAAATAATAGTCATACTATAGGTTCGATAGTCAATGAAACGAGCTTACAGACACTGGAAAATAATTGAAAATCGGTTGAGGTTATGATGATTCAAATTTAATCGCAAAAAGGCGATTTCGCGTTCCATGTGTTGAGCAGTTTTTTTAGTTGTCTATATTTTCGGAAACGTGACAGTAAGGAAATCAGGTCTATAGTCCAGGTTAGTTGAAATCAATGTCACGCTTGTTTTTATGTTCAACTACTATGAAAAATAGTTCGTTCTTAATCCGAAAATTTTAGAATTAATAAATAAACAAAGACGTGACCGTTCAATGACTTCGAACCCTTTATGAATTTAAATGAGATTTAGGAAAATAACCCTATTCGTGAGTGACAGTATACTATGATGATTTTCCCCAGTGGACATCGATCACCTCAACGACAACGGCGACGTGATAACCAGCTCGATGGCGGGCGACGACGGCTTCGTCTCGATCGACGGCAAACGCACCTATCTGAACCTCTTCGGTGATGGAACGGCAACATCAGCGGCAGCAACAGTGCCATCCACCCATCAAACCATCAAGCCCACCGCGCCGGCGCCGCACAACCGCGTGTCCGGCACCGGGTACGCGGTGGTCGAGGACGAGAAGCATCCGGCGGGGAAACCGGCGGGGCCGAGGAGGCCGGGGTACGGGGGGCCGAGGCCGAGTCAAAGGCCCAGTCATCCGCCTGTCAGGTGAGTTTGTAAGGGGTTTCCTCTTGTTGCTGTTATTTGGAATTATTGTGCAGAATAGAATAGAACAGTTTTATTTTCGAGAATCACAATTTCAGTAAAAACATATAAGTATATATACAGGGTGTCCCGTAAACACCACGGCAAACCTAGGAAGAATGTAGATCAAAAGATAATCCACCTGCTAATTTTCCCTATTCCTATTATTGATTGATTGTCTTTATTACCCCAAGAAACATAGTTGTTTATAATAGGGATACATAAACAATATACATAGTGTTATACATACAATTATGAAATTATAATAAGATATAACAAGTAAAAAAAAAAATGCAAATAATCATGCAATATCAACCTAATCTTTTATAAGTAGGTATTCAAATTGGAAATGGAATTATCAAAGTCTCTGAAGCAGATATTTTTTTAAGTTAATTTTGAATCTAGTTGCTTCCTCTATATTCCTCAATTGACTTGGTAATGAGTTGTATAGAACGATTCCTGTGTGAAAAATTGATTGTTTGCCGATATTTGACTTGAACGTATTTGCTATTATAAAAGAGAAATGGCCACCTTTTCATCATCTCTTGGGGCGTACGAAAGGGAATCCCTATAATGTTCGGGGAACATCGTAGGTACTTCGGGAGGATAGGGAGAGGAGGTAGGTATTGGGATTTTTTTTCAACTTTTGGAGACTATAAATTCTCGAGAATACTCATTTGGCAAAAAATTCCAAAGCTTTGCCGTTCTATGTATAAACGAGTTTATGGTTTTTCGACATCTTTCGAGGTTGACGACAAAAATATGTGTTGACTGGGCATGTCGAGTACGTCTGAATGATGGGAATACAATAACGAGATTGCTACGTGATGATTCCTACTCATATATCGCGTGGAATTTATATAAAATGATCAGATTATAGATAAGCTAGCTGTACTATATGACAACTTACCGCTCATTAGGTAGTCAGGCAAGAGTGTAGACATTGTCGATCTAAATGAAAACCTAGTAGGCGACCTAGTAGGTTTCCATTTAGATCGACAATGGTGTAGAAATGTACCATAGCAGATAATTGCGAGTCAACAATACAGTTTTTTGACAATTTATTTGGACATTCCCCATTTTCCCTTGAATATTTGGACTTATTTTTTGTTTTCTATGATTTTTCCATTCAAATATGATTTTTATTTCAAGTTGTTCAACTTTATTGCTCATTATACTCTATCAAATGAATCCAGGTGGTTTAATTTTAGTTTCCTTCAACTGACAAAAAGTAAGGAGGATTTAAACTTTGGAATGCGTTTTTTTCGTAACTTACTTTTTGTGCCATTCCCTCTTTTTTCCCTGTGGTCTTCAATTGTTATCAAGTCTGAGGGGTGAACACTTTCAACATTGAATTAAACTCTTCCCCAAGGGGCCCTGTCTGGCATGGGGTCCACCCTCATCCACCCCCATCGACAGAGGTGCCACGCGGTGTCAGAAATTCCAACAACGTTTCCGCAGAGTTATCCCCACCATTCGCGATTTCATTCATGTATCCGTCTATGGCGTTTAGGATTGTTGGCTTACACTGTTCGATGAATTCTGAATGACTCGCGATATCTATCTATCATTATTTAGCCTGAAAACTCATCCCCAAAGGTACAAGTGTCTTATTATTATCCCCACCATTCACGATTTCATTCATTTGTCCGTGTTTGGCGTTTAGGATTGTTGGCTTATACTGTTCGATGAATTTTGAATGAATCGCGATATCAATCTATTATTATTTAGTCTGAAAACTCATCCGCAATACAAGTGTCTTATTATTATCCCCACCATTCGCGATTCCATTCATGTATCCATCTTTGGCGTTTAGGATTGATGGCTTATAATCTTTCGTTTGTCAAGGATCGACACCTGCATAGTAGGCGACGACTCTACCTGCGACGCCTCGCAGCACGAGTACTGCAAGACGGAATCGGGCGTGAGCGCGTGTCATTGCCGACCTGGGACGGCGAGGCGTAAACACCGCGACCCCTGTCGGCGGATAGTGTCGCTTCTGTTGTCGCTGCGCGTCGACAAGCTGTACGAGAGAAGGGTGGTGTGGGCGCCCGAGTTGGGCGACGAGGGCAGCTCCAGTTACCGGCAGTTGGCGTTCGAGGCCGAGAGGGCGGTAAGTCGAAAGATCTTCTGTTCTTTACCGCTAGCACTAGTAATAGTAGTCAATTCCATGTTTCATGATTTTCCTTACCTCAATTTCGAAAGTTTTCAACATTCAGCATTTTGAAATATTGTGACGTGATGTGAGAAATCTTACCAAAATCAATGATTTTTTATTTAAAACAATAGGCGTGTTGTGTAACCCATTTATCTATAGATACTGACTTATACAGTGTGTCCCACTTACCATGCTCACCATGGGTATCTTTTTAACGGTGAGACATACGAGGTCGGTTAAATGACACCTAATGTGGAGTTTGTCAAGGCCAACTATAATGTGAAAAAATATTTTGATAAAATCTATCCGTTTTTGTTTTATACGCAAAAAACAGATTTTGATCATTTTCATGTCTCCTCCGTAACTTCCTTATTTATGAAAATATTCAAATAGGAATTTCATATTCCCATGGCAGTTTTTCAAAGTGATTTCGAAAATAATATGAAATTTATACCAACTCATCTAGAATTTGAGATATCAGCACCAACTTTAGTTTTTCAAATGTAGGTCATAGCTCACTATGACTTAGTAAGAAATAATTTTTTTTTCTCTTTCAGATGATATGTCGCAGTAATAGTTTTGTGTGGATAACAACGGAGTTATCGTCATTTATAAAAAAACTAAAAATTATTTGAAAGCCGACATCTTGAATTTATGGATTTTAACAAAAAAATCATGATCTCCGACCTCAAAAACCCCCACTTACCAATTTTGAATGGAATCGATCTTGTCCGCCATCTTGGAGCAGCCATTTTTTTTATTTCAACAAAAATTCTATAATGTATTTTCACCGAAATTATGAACACCTGTCAAATTTCTAGTTGATCGGAGTTATGAAATTTTTGTTAAAATTGAAAGAAATGGCTGCTCCAAGATGGCGGACTAGATTTGGTCCGATTCCATTCAAAATTGGTGAGTGGGGGTTTTTGAGGTCGGAGATCATGATTTTTTTATTAAAATTCATAAATTCAAGATGGCGGCTTCCAAATAATTTTTTGTTTTTGTATAAATGACGATAACTCCGTTGTTATCAACACAAAACTATTACTGCGACATATCAACTGTAAGAGAAAAAAAGTTATTTGTAACTGAGTCATAGTGAGCTATGACCCACATTTGAAAATCTAAAGTTGATGCTCAAATTCTAGAAAAGTTGGTATAAATTTCATATTTTTTTCGAAATCACTTTGAAAAACTGCCATGACAATGTGAAATTCCTAATTGAATATTTTCATAAATAAAGAAGTTACAGAGGAGACATGAAAATGATCAAAATCTGTTTTTTGCGTATAAAACAAAAACGAATAGATTTTATCAAAATATTTTTGCACATTATGGTTGGCCTTGACAAACTCCACATTTGGTGTCATTTAACCGACCTCGTATCTCTCACCGTTAAAAAGATACCCATGGTGAGCATGGTAAGTGGGACACACTGTATACTACACTGTTTTACCACTATCCAAACCAATTTTTTATGACGGCGATGGATCCAAATTTTCGCTTGTTTCACCTGAAACTAATCAAAGTGCTTCGTTTATTTGCTCTTTTATCTAGTTGTTGTAGTCACAGTTTAGCCATATTGATTATAGAAAGAATATTTTAAGAACAAATGTTCATTTGTAAAATGTCATTCAAAGGGGTTTCTTCGCTCTATCGAATGACATGAAAGTATCCACAGAGTTCCATTCGAAATTCTTAACCTAGCTCTATTTCCAGTGAAACCGGAAATGATATTCAATTGTTTTTTCATGGAGAACATGGGTTTTAAGGAATACTTTCTTCGATCCAAATGTCAAAAGTGTTATATAAAAAACAACTGAAAGACGGCCTTGCCAATGATTTATTTATCACCCGGTATTTCCCATCGACAGTTGGACTCCGCCATGTCGATGACACCCTTCAGCGACGACTTCCTCGCCGCCAAAGTGACGGGCATCTACGGGGGCGACCGAGCGCGCGGCCAAGCTGGCGTCTTCGTCAACGCCACCCTGCAGCTGGACGAGAACGCGGACACGAGCAGACCGACGGTACGCGGCGACATCCAGCGCCACCTGTTGGGCGTCATTCAGCGCAGGGGCAACAACGTGGGCGAGAGCGCGGTGTGGGTGGATAGTCCGCCCGGGGCGGTCTCTAATCTGCAAGGTAAGGAAACGGTGCATTTTGAGCAGAAAAATATGAACTCTTCTTTTTTTTTCTTCCTTTTCTATTGGAAAGTCCATTTTTTCCAACACACATCGATGGTTATCGATTTCAAATATTGGTCCAAAGGAAAGGGAACACACCCTTATTCAGTTTCTAAGGTGCTCAAGTTGGCGTCAAATACTCTACAAATCATGGTCACCCCACTCTAATTCAACTGCTTTTGCGTATTTATTACTTATTTATATTCATTCTCAACGATTTAGTATGGAATGTTTTGAGTAGCTGCCGCCGTTGATTGATATATCATCAGATATTGCGCATTTATGTTGGCAGAATTGTCCTAATTTTTCCCTTAACACCGACAACACTGAAGATGAGGTCCCAAACTCGACGGTAAAAATTACAATTGGGCCGACTTTGATTGCAGATTGCACAGCAAGATTCCAAAAAGTGGAATTCTGATCATTACTTATGGTCAATATGATCTGTCAACTTTGATGACATATTGTTAGTTTTCTTGCTATCTCGGCAACATCAATTTTGTGTTTGCTATCTCAAGACAAGGTTAGAAATTGCGGTGGATCCTTTTTTTGTGATATTTGGTTTTGTTGTGGTGCATTTCGTTCGTTTTCAATCTGGTGAAAGGTGATAGATTTTTATTATTTAAGGGAAAAAATATTCGATTGTAGCTCGGAGTTGTGTTGTCTACGGAAGGAGATAAAAAACCGAGAACTGAAATCTGATATTCTTCCCGTGTCACTGTGTTTTGTTTGTGATGAAAATAACGATGATTTAATATTGAAAAAACACTACCATATTCGAAGGTATTAACTGGTAGATTGTTGTACTTATAGTGACAATTAGACCTGCGTTTGTAAGGAAACCTTTTGAAGTAATCAACTATCTGTCGATATAATATAAAGGGTTTGATTTTAAAATTGCGAACTCAATGATTGTTTAGTTATTTACGTGGAATGGAAGATGAAAAGGACGGTGTTATTGGCTTATTTTTCGGATCAAGCGCCAACAAAAGCCATCGACAGGGTGTTCGGAAAGGTCATGTCGTAAATGATTGGGCTGATAGAGTGAGCCAAAATATTGTTAGTACTTCATATAAGAAAAAAATTCTTTCGCACTTCGTTACGGAGTTATTGACCTTGAAAGTTTGAATTGAAAAAAATATATATATTTCATGTATAACTTTTAAATGGTTGCCATGTTATCAATGCTATACGGGCAACCAAATTTACTCATACCATAGATCAATGCTCCTTTCGATGTGTAAACGGCTGCTCAGCGATTATGTTTTATACAGGATGGGACCAATTTTTTCCGTTTAATGGAGGCATTTTCCACAGAGGTTCTTCATCTTTCTTCTAGGAACCAACTTTTTTGATCATTCATTATTCCAGATTTTTTTGGAATTTTCAGAGAGCCTAAAAGAAAAATTCACTATAGCTTATCAGTGACAATTTGTATTGAAAAAGGTTTGGAGAAGAGAAAAAAGGTATATAGAAAAAATATCAAATTTTCACTTATCTTTGGACGTTTCGGGAACGAATCTGCTCCCGTTTTCAACATAAAAAATCGTTTTTTTTTTGTATGCCAAATTCGTATTTGTCTTGACACTTCTCAGTTCTCAGTGAAAATGAAAAAACAAAACGATCAATGACATTTAGAGATGAAATGTCTCAGAAAAAAGTCTATTTATCATTATTATTGATATTTTTGTCGTTATTTTCCATTATTTTAGACGTGGACGAATGTTCGTCGGAGGAGCTGCACGACTGCCACGCCGAAGCGAGGTGCGTCAACGTGTTCGGCGGTTTCCGGTGCGAGTGCGCAGATGGATTCAAGGACCCATGGGCGGACAACAAGCACAGAAGAGGGCGGCTGTGCGAAAGTTGCTCGCCCCAAAGGTGCAACAATAGGGGGGAGTGCAAGTACCAGAACGGGATGGAGATGTGCATGTAAGTTCAATGTTTTTTTCTGTTATCAATAAATATTCGCCTTGTGAGCAGGGGCGTCTGCAGAGATAAACTCAGGGGTAGGGGCAAGTCAAAATAATAATGTATCTACAGTATTCACTAAGTAACATCACTAGGGGAAAGAGTTGCAATGGGGTTCGACACACTAGTGGAATTAACGCCACAAACCTAATTTATATTGATCATTCTGTGTATAAATAGAATTTGATGCAATCATTAGTTATTTGAAATCAACGCAAATATACTTTTTTAATAATTAAATTCGGCGACTTCGAAGAACGCCAGGTTCGATGACGTTATGAATACCGGGTGAAGCAATCATAGCCTGTATTTTTTTCATGAAATTTATAATACCCTGTGTGAAATTGAAAGTACATGTGGCAGAACCCTCATTATATAACATTTGGGAATTATGTCAGATTATGATTGATGTGAATTGTCATTGATAATTAAAATAAAGAGTTCAAGTTAATTCTAATAATTACTTAATTTGTGGATAATAGAATCCATAATTGGTGACCTCGACGTCTCATCCAGAGATAACGAAAATGGTAAAACTTTTAGAAAATTTGAACAGATCAGAAATTCATAAAATCCTGGAACATTTTGAAATGAACGTAGGAGATTCCTTGGCAGAAGAGGATTTGGTCGATATTTTGAAGAGCCTGATTCAAGTTAAGATACCTGAGTGTTCAGGAAATTACGATTTCACAAATATATTAGATGAAATTGACGTTTAAAGACTGATTTCGCGAAAGCTAGGGGGGGAGTAATGTGGCAGAACCCTCATTATATAACATTTGGGAATTATGTCAGATTATGATTGATGTGAATTGTCATTGATAATTAAAATAAAGAGTTCAAGTTAATTCTAATAATTACTTAATTTGTGGATAATAGAATCCATATACACTTTAGCCTTATCTTTTCTCCACATTTCCTCTTGGATTCACTCCATATATTATCTTCCCTATTTCCCCAGAAATGGTCGTATGGTACTTGTGAACATAAATGGAAACCTTCCAGCCAGAAGGTACAGGATGATTTACCATAAATGTCCCCCCCTATAGCTCACTTATTTTTGAACCGATTTGAAAATTTGCAAAATATTCTAAAATGATTTTTCAGAAATCTTTTTCCCGTTGCATCAGAAAATACAGGGAGCTCGGAACAAACGATCTACTACTCGATGTTTTGTAATGGAACACACACTGTATTTCCTTGTATTTTTAGATTCTTCGTCACAAAAAAATCCCGATTTTGAACACCCTATATCTCTGTAATCATTCCCGATAGACCCCAAGTGTGATGCATTGATCAAATCAGCTCTTCAGGGAAAATCTAAAAATACAATGAAAAATAGGGTGTTCCATGTAAAAAAATCGATTAGTACCCTGTAGATCGTTTGTTCCAAGCACCCTGTATTTTCTGATGTAGCGGAAAATCATTCAAGATAATATTTCAAATTTTGAAATCGGTTCAAAAATAACTGAGCTAGAGGGGGGGGGGGCATTTATGGTGAATCACCCTGTACATATCAGTGATTTTAGAACAACATTTATAGTGTAAGGATTTTTGATATTTCAAGATAATGCCAGACCTCACGTAGTCTAAGTTGTGAGAAATTTTCTAGAGAAAATTTGTACCGCTACCAAGAGGTATGGCCAGCTCGGAGCCCAGATTCAAATTCCATTGAGCAACTTATTGAATAGTTTGGAAAACGCACGACAGAGGCTGTTGATTCAAATTTGGGAAGACCTGAAAACAATCTACATTTTTCATGGAAGCACACCCGTATCTTGCGTCGTTGACTGTATCTTTGGACTCTTTATTTCTCCTGCAAATTTCAGGATCCTCCCTCTATATTGACTATCAACTACTTTAGCACAACCGGCTCTATAATTTGAAGCAGGCTTATCACTTTAGTATACTTAACATTGAATTTTTTGCAGTTGTACTGGCAACTATTATGGAAACCAATGCGAGCTGGACGGAGAAGTACTGGGTGTTGCAATTGGCGCCAGCGTTGCCGCTGTTATCATCATCGGATTGACTTTGGTGTGCCTGGTGATGTGGAGGTACCTATATATTTTTTAAAATTATCAAAAACGTGTATTTCGAAATGTTGAAGTATTACTATTCGGTTGAATTTTACTACTAGTTGAATAGGTGGTGAAAAATTCCACTCAAGTATGTCAGGTAGTGCCATCTGTCAGCAGAGTGGTTTACTTGTGGTACCATTCTGTAGCGTATAGACGTAGAGGTCTGTACGTGTGACTATACAGCGTGTCTTACTCTAAACGGCCCCCCTCTATATCTCATTTATTAGTCATGCGATTCCAACCAAATTTGGTGGTATGAATAATAGAATGATAGTGCCGTGCGTTTTTATTGAACTAAAAAGGGGTCGATTTTTCATAAAATCATAGGCATTTTTTTAAAAGGAAATCTAACCTCATATTATTGTTCCCCATGCTTTCGAACCTCCATATGCAAAAAATCACCTGATTCCGAATCAACAGGATTAACTTCATTTTTTTCATTTTCAGTCTCAAATAAATAGTGACTTCAAATCAACTACGAATTTTGGAACGTTCAATGGCTCCAGTAGATAGAAGATCATGATTTGGAAGGAAAAACGAGTTATACTTTTTCATGTTGAAATCACCGTTTCCGAGTAAATAATTATTACGTTCGCAAAAATGCTGTTCAGATGTGCCTGTTTTTCTGAAACCCTTCATAGGCATCTCATAAAAATCCACATATGTAGGTTTGAAACCATGAAGAACAATATTATGAGGTCAGTTTTCCTGTTAAAAAATGCCTAATATGATTTAATAAAAAACTTACTCCTATTAATTTCAATAAACACGCACGGCACTGTCTAAAATGATGTATGTCTTTGAATAACTGGTCATATTGATGATAATTCATACCGATACAAATCTGGTAAAGATCGCACGACTGATAGCTGAGATATAGAGGGGGGGCCGTTTGAAATGAGACACGCTGTAGATGGCAGCGCCATACAGTGTGTGTCGCGATCTCTGTATCCTACCTTAGAGCTTTGCCACAAGATGGCTACAACATGACTACAACTTGATGTTATACCCTGCGTCAGTTGAATTTTGTTTGGATGTTTGAATATCGTTTTTCAGTCGCCGATGGAGCAGAGAACAAAAAGCGGCAGTGGGCAGCCCGGTTTTCGGTTACATGGCGACGGCCAGTAATACTGTCAAGACGCCCGTGGTGGGAGGGCCGCCCTATCAGCTGACCTTGGAGGACAGGCTGAGGTGGGCGCAGATCGCTGACGTCATGGCGCAAGCCAACCATTACGCTGTATGTACATTTTTTTGAACAACAGATTTTATTACTATTCCATGATAATTATATTATAACTTCGTATGCAATGCTTCAATGTTATTACTACTTTGACCGAGTCAATATCGGGTGGTCACGAAAACACCGGAAGTTTTTATTTTCCTCGTGGTTTCATCATTTCTCAACCGAATTCGAAGTTCTTGTCGTCGTTTCATAGCTAAAGGGCTATGGTATATAGTGGAATATTTGAAAATTTCATAATGAACAAAAACAAAATGGCGGATTTTACCAAAGTATTGTCATTTACAAAAACCGCTGGAGAGAAAGAAAATCGGTTCATTTCCAACCTGTACCGATGTCATCTTAGGCTATTCATTTCTGAAAAGAATGAGTACTCGAACATCGAAATCGAACAAATAGTCCAGTAGATACACTCATTTCTTTGCAATTTGTTATGGAGTGAATGTGCTAATCTCGTATAAACGATTACATATTATTATTTTGCTTCAGGCTTCATGAAAATTCAATCAAATTTGGATTTCTTGGAGTTATTTCAAAGATAAAGAACTGTAGTACACAATGGATCATTTGAAAATCCAATAATTGAAAGAAACAAAATGGTGGAGGATCCAGAATTTTTGTGACTTTCAAAAATCTCAGGCGAATAAAAAAATTTTTATTCTGCCAATCAGGACCGATACAATTTTAGATCATTGTGTACTATAGTTCTTTATCTTTGAAACAACTCTCAAAAATGTCAAAAACATGTCGTTTCAAAAAACTTCATTATTTAACATTGTCTGAAAGAGTTGAGGGGGATCGAGTTCCATTTTAAGAGGCGCACCCTGTGCACTTGAACTGAATCCACACGCATTCGTGTTGATCTCCTATTGTTCAATCTGTTTCCTTCCAGCCGGAGCCGGTCCTGCCCGCCCCCACCCGCCCCTCCTCCGCCATGTTCGGCTACCCGGTGGGCGTGGGCGGCACCCTCTCCCCCGCCCACCGTCACCACGGCGGCACGCTGCCGCCCGTGCCGCTGCCCCGCCTCAACCTGCACGCCCACCAGCTGGGCGCTGGGAGGGCGGCAACGATGCAGGGCGGGGGCGGGCGGCCGCCCTTCGACCACTCCAGCTCGAGCGACGACGAGGACAAGACGGACCTGTTGGGCAGGAGTTTCCAGGTGCCCAGGCCGAAGAGTAGGAGTAACGCTTCTGTGGCGGTACGTATTTTTTTTTCGTTTGGAATTTAATTCGGTATTTTCAATTTCTAAACATGTTTTTTTTTTAATTTGAACTCTGTTCTTTTAAATTTTAATTTTCAATATTACTTATATCAACTGGTTATTTTGAAATATATCACAGTGAAAAGTTTTCGGGAGTCTGTATGTAAGAACGAATGACACCCTATGATGGTGTTGATAATATTTATTCATTTATTTATTGAACAAATAACTTCCAGACAGAATAGGCTCTGGTATAAGGAAGAACATAATTATATACCTATAGGTAAACATAGCATCATTCAAAATATATCAACAACTGTAAATTGGCAAACAAAGAATAATATATGTAAAAAAAATGGCATGTTCAATTTTATCCAGTTCGTTCAGAAATAATCAATTTTTTCACTTCATTTTTGAATGAACCTATATTTCTGCAATTTTTTATATTGTCAGGTAGTTTATTGAATACAGTTAAGGCTGAATGAGTGAATCATTTTTGTCCGATTAGGGAGCTAGCGGCGTCAAGATGAAACAAGTTAAATTGTCTTGTTTCATGATTATGAATTTCAGAATTCCGTATCAACATAAAATTCGACTTCAATTTTTTATTTATGATATTATATGATATTTTGAGAGTTTCAATTCTATATATTTCATCTAAAGAATACGTATATATTATTTCAAACAATTGATTGGTTGGTGTATCAAATGGGAGACGATATACTACAATACTTTCAACGATTTTCTATATAATGTTGATATTATATTGAAATTGTTCTTTGAACAAGTTCCCTAAACATTTATTAAATAGTTGATACGACTCAGTATACGAGAGTAGAGAATCATGTTTGCAATTTTAATATCAAGTTTGGGACATCTTCTCAATGCACCAATAATTGGAGATATTTTTTTTGTCAGAACATCAATATCAATATGTTTTTCCCACTTCAACCTGTCATCAAACCAAATACCAAGATATTTAATCTGGTCAGTTTGTTTTAAGAGTTCATTTTTCATTTTAAGGTTGAGGTAAATTTTTTGTTTATTTTTTTGGTGAAAAATCATATATTCTGTTTTGTTAGTATTTATCGATAAAAGGTTAGAGTGGAGCCATTTTTCAAATATTTTCAAGTCTTCATTTTTATCATATTTTCTAAGTTTGAAGGATTCTTGCCTTCATGTAAAAGTACTGTATCATCTGCATACATGGTATATTTACTCGTGAGACAATTTCACTGATATTTTGAACATAAAGTAAATATACTATAGGTCCTAAAACAGAGCCCTGTGGGACACCCTTATTGATTAATAGTTTATTTGACACAGAGTTGATTGATTTTGTATTGATTGTCCTATTTTCAAGATATGAATTCAAAATATTTCTCACAGTGCCTCTGAGTCCCATTGTTTCTAAGTTTTCTGAAAGTGTTGTATGATCAACTGTGTCAAAAGCCTTTTTGAGATCAATGAAAACAGCTACCACATAATTTCCTGAATCAATAAGTCCTCTCTGGATTGATTCTATCACTTGTAATACTGCTGCTTGTGTTAATATCAGTGTTAATTCTCACTAAAACAATCAGGATCTCAGGGGACACCCATGGGTGTTAGCTGGTGTGAACTGGTGTTTTTTTCTCACTGTATATACAGTGTTATTCATCAAATCGGCATCATATGGAAAAAACTTTTAATCATAATATATTTCGAAATTAAATTTTGGCGTCAAGTTTTTTTCTAAAAGTATGAAAAATTTATTACTCGGTCGGGGTCACATGACTTTCGCTACATATCAAGAGTTAATTTTTTTCAAATTAATCACTGGAAATAGGCTTATTTGTTTGAATCTCAAAGAAGTTTACTGAGAAAATTTATTTCCATTTCAATTCTACATAATTATGTGTTCAAAAAAATAATAACACCGACCAAACTATTTCATAGTAGTAGCTTTATCATGATACTAACGTCAATCACTTGTTATCGACAGAAATATGATTTTCTTCAAAAAATAATAATCCCCGCATCAAAATTTCTGCTATGTTTGATGCAAAGTCTATCATTCTGCAGCGACATTTGTTTGAATTGATTTTTTCTGTACTAAAATGATACAAAAGTCATCTATCAAAATATCATCAAAGTACATTAAAAAATAACAAATAATTATCAAGAACTAAAAGTTGCAATAGAACGTTCAAATTCGAGTCATACAGTGTGTTACAATTTTGTCCAATCCACTCCTGTACTTTCGTATTCCTAGGACGACTTTGATTTTTTTCTCACAGTATACTACTCAAACTCAAAATTATCTACTTTGTCCAGCAAAAAAAAATCAATCACAATTTCTTAGCCTACTGGGATCACAAAAACCCCAGCAACATCAAAGAAAACGGGTTAGGCATTTTTTTTCAAGATTTTGATGTAGAGGTAATCGATTCGGACTAGTCACAAATACTCCTATATTAATTTTCAAAACAATATGTCATACGTTTTTTATCAACGTTACAATTTTTGGATAGTAGCACTCTTCAAGTCACTGTATAATAATTCTCAGAAATTAAATGATATTAGGCATGATGATAATCAAGATTAGATCACCACAGAGTGAGATATATAACATTTATTGTTTATTGAGAAACTAGCTTCCCGTCAGAAATAGAATTCTGGTATGAGGAAGTTGATTACAAACAACAATGATAAAATAATATAAGGTGACAACAACAACAACAAAAAATACAAAAAAATCTGAAAATGCTCGATCAAGTCATAAAAATAGCCACAGGGACTAATCAGTAGATGGCAAAGTATTAATTTTATCCATTTTGAGATAAAATCATGTGTTTTTTTTAATCAATTCCAAATTTTGAAATGTGTGCAATTTTTAATATTATGTGATAATTTATTGAATCCAGCTACAGCAGCCTGAGTAAATTTTTTTGGCCAATTATAGACGTAGCGGAATCAAGATGAAATAAGTTTAATTGTATCGTGTGATCACCATAAATTTCTGAGTTTCTTATCAAAACAAAATTGGATTTCAGATTATTGTTTATGATATCATATGAAACTTTAGGAGAATCTATTTTATATGATTCATCCAATGAACATTTTTCTGTTATCGCATACAGATCATTTGTTGGGATATCAAATGAGAGACGATACAGTACTTTCATTGATTTCTTATAAAGTGCAGATATTTTACTGAAATAATTTTTTGAGCAAGATCCGTAAACTACTATTTTTTGCAGAACCAGAGCGGTATTTACTATGACGTGGACTATGAGCCCAACGACATCTACAAGCAATCAGGCGGTATACCTTTGAGCACATACAGTATGGGTAGGCCGTCCTATTTCAGGAATTGATTCATATATTTTTTCGTCTGTAAATACTGACAACCACAATAATTATTATTGATGACAACGGAATTCATAATCTGCTAGATTCTACGCATGAAAAGTTGAGTCAATATCAATATTGATTAGTAGGTCATAATTATCTTTTTTACCATCACTTGACATAGCTGAAAGGGAGTGGTGAGAGACTAATTGTTGTTTTGTTGGTATTCTAATTCTCGTTATTTTTTCGTAATAAATTCATTACCTTCATACTCTTCCATTCTTAATTCATCAGTAACTTTCATTATTTTTGATAAAGATGTATTCAAATAAACTGAAATCATTATTGAATTCATACTATAATAGGTAGGCATTATTTTTGTTATTCTATTGATTTGTTGATATTTTTAGTTAGGTAGTTGTTCTATTGAATATTTCACGTGTATATATTTATATATTTATAATTTTATGTAAGTTTTTGTATCAGAAGAGTTTTGAACTTTCTAGTACCTATATAATAGAACGGAAATATATGCTAAAATAGAAACTTGGATAACTTATTTTTGAGTGGTTAGCTGCTCGTCGAAAACAACAAATTTTTGTTTCCCGTTTTTGTTGTAAAATTTAAATGTTTACTTGTGGAAAGACAGGGAATGACAAGTTTCCTGAAGAAAATTAATACTCACCAAAGGTAATCTAATGGATATTGTTTGTGTGTCCTCTATGAGCTGTATCAAAATCACGTGTTCTGTAGGTTAACCAAAGAAGGTATGGGCGTTCATTTCTCGAGATTTTTTGGATTCTTCGTTTCTTTAAATGAAAAAATAAGTATTATTTCTATATGTTTGTAGTTCTTGTAACTAATAAGAATATCTCGTTCCTACATTGCTCAAAACCAATTGTAGAAGTTCTAACCTGATGATAAATACTGAAAGAAAAACGATGGAAATCTCAATACCCATCGGAGTGGCCAAAGTTTTGAAAAAAAAATTTAATGGTCACTGGATCACAGCATCATAATAAGACCGTGAAACTACAGCAGCAGCTTCTTCGACTAAAAATAGGAAGAAAAGTTCCAATAAACAAGAGTCGAAAAGTTTCTCCTAAGGGAGCTACGGCCTCCTTAAGGGGGTCTCCTGAAGATGATATTTGCTGAATATTTCCGAAACGCCATGTACTAAAATGATGCCATTCGGTACAAGAACTGAACATCCTCAATGTAGTGAAAATTAAATCATTACAAAATTTCATTCAGGAGTATAATAGGGTGAGAGAGTGAGACTACATTAAATATTGCTCAAACTTTTTAGTTTGCATATTTTTCGTCAATATAATCACGGATTTCGAAAATCTACTCTCTACAGTGAAAAGGTGCTCTTGTTCCGTATCGATCAGATGTCTTATTTTCGAGTAAAATCGATTTAGAAATATTGTTACATCTCACATATTATGCATAACATTGCAATAAATCATAGTGACTATGAATAAAAAGCAAAATATTGGACTATGTTTTATCATCGTCTTCCTATTATTGAGGCGCTTCTATACAATTGTTTGGTGCAAAGGAATGATTTGTTTTATAGTCACAATAATAATAATTTGAAAATTGGCAACGTTATCATATTATGTGAGATCTAACAATATTTTCAAATCGATTTCACTGAACATCTGATCAATACAGAACAAGAGCACCCTGTATTACACACTCCTGAATGGAATTTTGGAATGCTTTCATTTTCAGTGCATCGGCCATAGAAAGTTTAGTACTTGTACCATATTGCATAATTTTATCACATGGCGTCTCGAAAATAGTCAGGAAATATCATCTTCAGGAGCCCCTTTAAGGAGGCCATAGCTCACTTAGTCATTTTTGGACTCATGTTCATTGGAACTTTTCTTCGTATTCTTGGTCATAGAAGCCGCTGGTGAAGTTTGGCAGGCTAAACGAGTATACAGTGTGTCCCAAATTCGATCCTCACCATTGGGATATCAGTAACTATGAGAGATAGAGAAAAGGTTAAATTGGCAAAGTTGTAGCATATTTAATGTTGAATCAGAATCTTTTGAGAAATCAGGGCTAGCTTTAGTCATTCTTGAGTTATATGAGAAAAACTGAAATCTCGTATTTTTGTTTTGTTCGAATATCTCGGAAACTATTGATTTAATGAAAAAATGATTTCAACATTCTAATAGCACTTTTTGGTGTTCTTTTCATTGGTTTTGTCAGTTTCCCATCAAAATGTCAAATTTGTGAGATATCACCTACAACTTCAATTTTTCTTATGGACGGCATATCAGGGAAATCAGTTCCCCAAATAAAATGAAACTGTGATTGTGATAAATCACTAAAAAAGAAATTTTATGCTGATTTCAAATCTGTTGAAATCCAATATGCCGTCCATAAGAAAAATTGAAGTTGTAGGTGATATCTCACAAATTTGACATTTTGATGGAAAACTGACAAAACCATTGAGAAGAACACCAAAAATTACTATGAGAATGTTGAAGTCATTTTTTCATGAAATCAATAGTTTCCGATATATTCGAGAAAAACAAAAATACAAGATTCCATTCTTTCTCAAATAACTCAAGAATGACTGAAGCTAGCCTGGATTTCTTGATAGATTTTGATTCAACGCTGAATTTGCTACGACTTTTCTAATTTGAGCGTTTCTTTATCTATCATAGTTAGTGAGATCTCAATGGTGAGGATCGAATTAGGGACACACTGTATTATCAGGATGATATTTCAAAAATGCTGGTCATGCAGTTATTGAATTATTTTATTTATAACGCAATATTAATATCATTCAAGATTTCAATGAAGTAAAAATAAAGATGATGAGTATGGGAATATTTTGATTGAGTTTTTGAGCACTACAATTAGGAGGATTTTTTATGAGCTGACTGTAACTGTGACATATTATGTACACCTACACTAGGTTACACTAACCATGCACTAGCACTGATATGTATTGTTCTGTGCCTGGTGCTCTGACTTCCGTGATCTGTGATAAAGATGATTAATAAACCAGTTATCATCCAGCAGTCTTTGAATTCAGACGTCCCGTCTCCAACACTCTCCCAAGTCCACACCACATGGCGCAGTCAGGTTAGAAACTAGACAAAAAATTCCGCCATCTTAAAATATTTTGGCGAATTTGCACTCCCAAGCAAATAGAAGACCCAATCGAAAGGAAAACGAGAAACTAAGATATCAAAATGGATTTTAGAGGCGTCCCACCCATGAAAATGAACGGTAATGTAGCAGAAAACTGGAAATTTTGGAAACAGCGATTTCAAACGTACCTGCTAGCGACAGAAATCTCGAAAAAAGAAGAAATTACCCAATGTGCTCAGCTATTAACGTTAATCGGCGACGAAGGTATGCGTATATTCAATACTTTCACTATGCTGCCAGATGAAAAGGATAAAATAAATCCATTACTTGCGAAGTTCGAGAGTCACTTCAGTCCCAGAAATAATTTAACTTACCAAAGACATAAATTTCTAACATGTAAACAGCAAGAAGGAGAATCCATTGAACAATATGTAACAGAATTGAAAAATTTAGCTAATTCTTGTGAACTGGGACTCTTACGAGACTCCTTAACAAGGGACATTCTTATATGTGGACTTAAGTCAGAAACACTTAGGGAGAAGCTACTTCAAGAAGATAATCAGCCTCTAGAGGAAGCAATTAGGCTATGCATCAATATGGAGAAAACAAGGGAACGAAATCGAGAAATTACCACCAATAATAGAGAGAATATACAAGTAGAGGAGATAACGAGGAACTTCAGACCCAAGTATAAGGATAAAAGGGGAATTCCAAGAAAATATGAGGCATCCAGAAGCAACTATCCAAGCAAATATACTACAAGTTACAGCAAGACCAATGAAAGAAGCTGCCGGAAGTGTGGAAACTGTCATGGTTATGGAAAATGCCCAGCCCATGGACGACAATGTTCCAAATGTGGAAACATGAATCACTTTTCTGGAATGTGTAAATTCAAAAATGGCAGTAACAATTCAAATTATAATAAAAATAAAGTAACTTTTAAAAATATTAATACTCTAGAGAATGAATATGAAGATAGTAATGATGACATGCAACCTTTTGTAAACTCCATAGAAAATAGTTTAAATGAAACTAATGATTTTCTCTTTATAGGTAGCATTGAAACGGGGACAGTTTGCAACGTTGAGATGGAGTCATGGGTTGCTGCAGTAGAAATAAATGGTCAGAAGGTAGAAATGAAGCTGGATAGTGGAGCCATAGCCAATGTCATGCCTGTAAGTGTATTTCAAAAAATAAAACTTGATTTCAACAATTTAAATCAAAGTACCATGAAGCTGAGGTCATATACAGGAGATCTTTTGCCAATAATTGGAGAATGCAATTTAGAATGCAGATATAATAATTATACTGGAAAATTCTTATTTCACATTGTTGATATGAATAGTTGTTGCATTTTAGGCCTTCAAGCTTGTGTTAAACTAGGTATGATTCGAAGAATAGATAATGTTCAAGAAGTAGAAAACTTCTCTGTTGAAAATATCCAGTATTTAATAAATAAATATGAACATCTATTCAAAGGAATAGGGTGTCTGGAAAAACCATACCATATTGAATTAAAAGAAAATGCAAAACCTATAATAAACTATGCTAGAAAAGTACCATTTGCAGTTAAAGATAAATTCAAAGAAAGTTTGAATGAACTTCAGAAAGAAAAAATAATTGTTAAAGATGATAACAGTGCGGATTGGGTAAATCCAGTTGTTTTGGTCATGAAACCTGATAAAAAATCAATTAGAATTTGTTTAGATCCCAAATTTCTGAACCAGGCTATTAAAAGACACTACTTTCAAATTCCAACCATAGAAGACTTGACAAGCAAATTAACAGGTTCAAAAATATTCAGCACATTAGATGCAACACAAGGATTTTTGCAGATCAAGTTGGATTTTCAAAGCTCTAAACTTTGCACTTTTGCAACCCCATTTGGAAGATACCGATTTTTAAGGTTACCTTATGGTCTGATCAGTTCATCTGAAGTATTCCAAGAGCGTATGACTGAAATCTTTGGTGACATAGAAGGTTGCAGTGTTTACATAGATGATATAATAGTGTATTCAAAAACTGTAAAAGAACATGAGAAATTGTTAGAACTAATTTTTAAAAGAGCAGAACAATTCAACATTAGATTCAACAAAAATAAATGCAAATTTGGTTTAAAAGAAGTCAGATATATGGGTCACAAAATATCTGAAAAAGGTTTAACAGTTGATGATTCAAAAATAGAGGCCATAAAAAATATGCCCCCTCCAAAAAACTTGAATGATTTGCAAAAATTCCTTGGACTAGTAAATTATGTAGGTAAATTTGTAAAAAATCTTTCAGAAAAGACATCAACATTAAGAATATTATTGAAAAAAGGAGTTGAATTCATTTGGGACAAAGATCAAATAGAAACTTTCAATAATTTGAAAAAGTTGATATGTCAAACACCATGCTTAAGATTTTTTGATCCAAATGAAGAAATCACGATCTCTGTAGACGCATCTCAGAACGGGATGGGTGCATCACTTTTTCAAAATGGCATACCTTGTGCTCATGCATCTAGGGCTCTAACAGAAGCGCAAAAAAGATATGCACAGTGTGAAAAAGAACTATTAGCCATATGGTTTGGATGCGTGAAATACCATCAGTATGTATTTGCAAAAAAATTCATAGTTGAAAGCGACCACAAACCATTAATATCAATAATCAAAAAGCCAATCAATGATTGTCCTGCTCGCTTGCAAAGAATGTTAATTCAACTTAGAAAATATGAATTTGAGTTAGTATATAAACCAGGAAAACATTTGATTGTGGCTGACACATTATCCAGAATATATGAAAAGAAATGCTTTGAAGAAAATATCGATCTGGAACTAGATGCTCAAATATGCTTAATTGCAAATAACTTGAATGTAACACAAGAAAAAAGAAATCAAATAATAAACTTCACAAAACTAGATCCAGATTTGATAACGCTAAAAAATCAAGTTATTAAAGGATGGCCAAACAAAATACAAGACGTGCCAGATAACATCAAATTCTATTATAGATTCAGATCTGAAATTACAATTGCAGATGATCTCTTGTATAGGGGCACTAAGCTCATAGTACCACAAGCTATAAGAAAAGAAATATTACAAAAACTCCATATAGGCCATTCAGGCATTAATAAATGTATAAGCACTGCCAACAGTTCATTTTACTGGCCTTTCATGAACAAACAAATTCAGGACATGATACTGACTTGTGAAAACTGTCAACAGTTTAGAAAAACCAATTGTGCGGAACCTATGATTCCTCATGACGTTGTAAAGCTGCCTTGGTTCAAGGTTGCTTCTGATATATTTCATTTCGATGGCCAATCATTTCTAATAGTAGTAGATTATTATTCGAAGTTTTTTGAAATTTCAAACCTGAATAAGGATCTGACAAGCGAAAATGTAATTTTAAAGCTTAAATCAATATTTGCTAGACAAGGAATTCCTAGAATTCTAATAACAGATAATGGACCAGAATATAGTAGTTTACTATTCAAAAAATTTACTAAGAAATGGGAATTTGAACACAAAACGTCATCTCCAAGATATCCTCAGTCCAACGGGGAAGTAGAAAGAACTATTCAAACAATAAAAGCAACTTTAAAAAAATGCAAAGCTAGCAACTCCGATCCTTATTTAGCATTACTAGCATTACGTAACACACCTTTGACTTATGGACATAATTCGCCAGCTAATATTTTAAGTAATAGAAACTTGAGAGATTTGTTACCAAAAAGTCAATCTAATTATGAACCAACACTTTTCAATAAAGTGAAACACGACGAACTGATTGAAAAATCAAAATCTAAACAAAAAGGTTATTTTGACAAAAGAGGTGTAAAAACTTTGCCTGACATAGAAATTGACTCAAATGTACTAATTCAAGAGACATTGAAAAGTCCTTGGAAAAAAGGGATAGTATTAAGTAAAGTAGGGATAAGATCTTATGAAATAAAACTGGAAAATGGTTCAATAATAATAAGAAATAGAAGATTTATAACACCATACAAACGAGATATTATTAAACCATCTTGCAAGAATTTAGAAGTAAGAGAGTATGATTGTAATAGTTCTAAAAATTATGTATACTTGAATGTAGAAAGTGAGAATGATCATCAGAATCTAAATGATAATCAAAATATGAATGTGGAAGATTCTGATAATGCTGACAGCAGTTTTCAAAGTATAAAGTATGATAATTCAGAGCATAATACAGATTATGCATCAGAAAATCATACAGATTCAAATTCACAAAATAATTCCACTCTTAGCACTGATAGCAGTACAGAGGAAGAAAACATATCAGAATGTTTCAATAATACAGTAACTAGAACTACAAAGTCAGGCAGAATTGTTAGAAATCCGAAAAAATTTCAAAATTTTTACACTTTCAAGTAGAGGTAAACAGTAGACATTAAATGAAGCTAGACACAATCCATAAGAGGGGAAAGAGCTAGGGATATAGGATTAGGATGCTGGATAAGATAACTATGTATGTGATTTAAATGTAAAATGTCCATCGTCATATTATCAATAAACTATGTAATAATTTCAATAAGTAAAATGTACAACATCAAAATATTATGTAAAAATTGTAATATATAAACAATGATGTAAACATGAAAGGGGGAGATGTGACATATTATGTACACCTACACTAGGTTACACTAACCATGCACTAGCACTGATATGTATTGTTCTGTGCCTGGTGCTCTGACTTCCGTGATCTGTGATAAAGATGATTAATAAACCAGTTATCATCCAGCAGTCTTTGAATTCAGACGTCCCGTCTCCAACACTCTCCCAAGTCCACACCACAGTAACGAAGCTACCATAGTTTTTTTTCTATCCACTCATTGATCAATCGAAGTAAACATGGATTATACTGATTATACTGACTTCCTCTAACAGCTCATCACTGTTCAATCATACCGATATTCGTGAAAACCTATTAAACTGTTTTTATCTATCGATAGCCGAAGAATTCAGGCTATCTCTGTTACACTCCCATCCTGAAAACAACTATAAACATAGGTAATTAGTTTTTTTTTTCGAAGCTGTGCTCTTCAATTCTACTACTCGGAACAATAATTTTATTGAGAAATCTCCGAATATTGATGGATAGGTACACAAAAGTAATTACCATCATGGGCGTAGTCAGAAATTTTTGTAGATGGCAAAAACTATTTCTTTATATTAGGGCAGATTAGATTCTTGAAATTGACGTATTGAAAATGGAGAGAACATATTTTGACTTGAATGAGAAATTTTAGTTGAGTAGATAATATGGAAATCTCAGAAATAGTAGCCCTCATATCTACTGTTACTGCTTAAATTTATGAGAATTATTATTAAATTACTGAGGCACTTCAACGTAAGAGATTATCAATTTCATTTTCAAATGTAAATATTTTTCAATAATTTTTGATGGATAATTTGTTTCCTAATTCAATAATGTACAGGGTGTCCCACTTGAATGTGCCACCCCCTTTGTCCTCGTAATTCTCAATATATTTTGGCCATACTAAAACTTTTCTGGAATAATTTTTTACGATTTTTTTGCATTTGTGCTAACTTTTTCTTCATATCAACAAATCACAGGGTGGCTCAGAAATTTGTTTTTTAAATGGAATGATCCATACTTTTTTCCATATGATGAAGCTCTTCAATTAGAATTCAAATATATATCATTCATATATTATTATCGAATAAAATTTAGGTCATTCCATTTGAAAACACTTTTTTTTAGCCACCCTGTATTTTGATATAGAGAAAAAGTGAGCACAATTATTCCAGAAACGTTTTTGAATGGCTAAAATATGTATAGAATTACGAAGGTAAAGAGGGGTGAAATATTTAGGTGGGACATCCTGTTCCAGGTATTCTTACCTAAAAAAAATTAATTTTGTGCAAAATTAGTAAGGAAACCTAATGAATGCATCATCATAATTCATGCACTAAATATTGGATAAACTTGATAGGATTATCATTTTCTATAAATTTTTGGTCTTCTCTCGTTTCTTCAAATGAAAATATATTGTTTATAGTAAGGACGAATCATTTGTCCCAAAATGTCACATCCAAAAAAAATTTCAACTTGCATGAAAAATGTTTAGATAAGAGGAATATAGGTAAGTATATTGACAAAATCTTCACATATAGCTCTGAACGTGTTATTATATAATATGAAAATTCTTTAAAAATGATGGAAAAGTTGGGGTAGGTAATTTTATGTTTGGTTTGATATCAAAAAAACATCGAAAAATACCTGTCGCTGAAAATTACTAACAAAAACTAAAATTCTGGTACCCATGCCCCTTTTCCCAATTCATTCTACGCCCATTCCTAATCCATTAAAAATACCGTTATCGTCTCGATATCGAAATTTATTTGGGCCTAAAGGCTTGGCTCCCAGCAAAAAATATTCTGTTATGTACACAAGATGAGCTTATAAAGGGCTGTTATGTAGCATGGTACAGATCATTCTCGAAAAAGTAATCACATGACGAAGATGATGTATCGGTTTTTGTTTTTGATTTTTTTCGCGCAACGGGCTTTGGCAGGATTCTTCGAATTTTCAGAAGTTGATGATCCGTTGCAGTCATTATGGCAAAACGAGAGTGAGTATACATTTTTAATATTATTTTTTGTCTCTTCCATTTTTCTCTGATTTCAAGTAAGTTCTGCGATCAACACACTTTTTTTTCAAGTCCATTTAACACATGCAAGAGGATTCAAGGAAGTCAATACAAAGACCGGCTATTTTATGACTTTTTCAATATCATCCAAAAATGATCAAATTGGAATGTTTTATTATACCTATAATACAGGGTGTTTCGTTCATCGACGTATATTTGGGAGGAGGTGATAAGTAAGAACACTTTGAACATATTTAATAGTATATACTATCATACAAAGTGCTTCGAATTTCGAGATATCATCGTTTTGTCAAACATTTTCACGACCTTCCAGATATATACTTCGTTGAATCAAACGCCCTCAGAGTAGACAGGACTACACATTTTTTCATTTTATTTGAATAGTCGAAACATTAGTATTTTTTTCTTCATGATTTCTCTTGAAAATATTATGAAAATAAAATTTCGATTCAGAGTTTTTTCGTTGGTACCTTTGTTAGGATTATTTTCTTGCAGAACTTGAGAAGAAACTCACAGAATGTAGGGTATTGACGAAAAGTGGAGTAAAATATGGATCTTGTGTACCATATGGTACCTGTATGCTTTCTGGAGGCGCAGCAAATGGATTTTGTGGGATACTTCAAACTTGTTGTATATGTAAGAAATTCCATTTTTTTCTAAATTTTTTCCTCGATAATTACTGTGACAGTGTCCATATAATAACTAATTGATACCTCTCAAACTACATATACAGGGTGGCATTGAAATAAGTGCAAATATTTCGAACACTGAGGAAGCTCGATGTGTACTATCGAATGGCACTATTAAAACAATTTAGGGATCAAAATAAATGCTGAGGTTAGACCTTTTTTTCCATTTAAATTGTTTCAAAGTGGCCTACTTGATTTTTTTCTCGTATTTTATTTTTAGTATTTTGGATGAAATATCTCGTTGATTAGAAGAATTAGAAAAAAATCTGATATCATGGTAATATTCCTGTAACTGTAACATATTAATATGCTGAATGTTTGCACTTTATTTCAAAAACATCTTGTATATCTATTATTTTTTTTTATTTTCAATATACTTGTTATCAATCCGAATTTTTCGTAGATGAAAATACTTGTGGTAAAGAAAGTGACACAAAAGTAGGATACTTTGAAGCGAACGAAGTCACAGATGGAGTAACAACGTGCAACTACGTCATCAAGTTGAGAAATCCCAATATCTGTCAAGTGAGGTAAGCAAAAAATGTCCACAAAAAAGTACTTTTGCCACCACTCTAGCTCTAGTACCTACCATTATTTACTCCTTTTCAAGGCGTGAAGTGTGTTATTACTACCAAGGTGATTTTTCGTATTTTATGAACCACTAGTCGATGAAGACATAGCAACCTCTGATATATTTAACCTGAATTCACTGTTCTTATGCGAGATTCGCAAGAATGATAATAATAATAATAATTGTTAGCATCTAGCAACTAGATGCGCTACTGCTCAGTGGAATGTTCTTAGATCAGAGCCTATGACAGACGTGAGTGAAGACTGGCTCATACAGTGTTCGGCAGGCAGCCGAATTAAGAGCTAGTGTAACCCTTGTCCATGTCATTTGTGCTTGTGTTTATTGAATTATGACCATAATATAACAATAATAATAATAATAATAATATTTATTTCATTCTCTCCTATAAACATTATAAATTGCATCTCATATAAATATAAATATATTTTATCAAGATTTACAATGAAATACATGAAAAATTAGACAGATTCATATCTGGTATTAGATTATTCATGTATGCCTTATTAAATCTGAGTTATTGAAATGAGCAACAGATTCAAAAATAATAGTAATAAAACAAAAAGCTCATGAAAAGTACATTATGCCATGATGAAATAAACTAGTGAATGAGAAATAATTCACTCAGGTTTGATTTTCCCTTTAATATTGAATTGGGTGATATTTGTGCAACTTTTGATATCATCAGGTGATTTATTGAATTTGGAGATTATTGTAGATTGCAGATTGGAGACCTCTCGATCACTGCGACCTAGAAGATCTATTGCGATTACCCTTATCTAGTTTTGAGTGAATTTGAAAATTTCGCACCCTCAAAGTCATCGAAAAATCTTAGACACGTTGATTATATTCTCAAGTGGAACACTTTTAAAATGAACATGTCCTGTTATTGAAAATTTTGTGGAAATCTTATCCCCTGTCAAGTTGTTTACATTTATACTCTATGTCCACAGTCACAGAAATAATGGCAAAGTGTAAATTTTATCTGAAGCAATTCTGTTTTTCCAGGTTAGATTTTGTTAAATTCAACTTGGCCCCAGCCACAATGACTCTCCCTCAATATGCCACAAGACAAATATACAAATGTAACGATGACAGATTGAAAATAGTCCCCAACTACTTCGGAATCCCAGAGTTGTGTGGAAATAACGATAAACAACACGGTGAGGAGTGATATAGAATGAAAAAAAATCACCAATGGCATGTCCTGTTTTTTTGGGGTGCCACAGGGATCCATTCTGGGCCCGCACTCTTCACTCTTAATTTTCTAACGCTTTTTCGTTGCAGTTTACGTTCACGTGAATCAAACCGACGGAGTGACCAAGGGGGTGCAGTTGCAAGTCACCTTGGCCGACAGAAATTACAACCCTCATCTGCCGACGGCTTCATGGAAAATCAAAATCACCCAGTTGCAGTGCCCCGGCGAACAGAAAGGGTTCCACCTGCCTAAATTGGATGCCGACCAAGACGTTATTCAGGACTTTCCTCAGCTAGGTCAGAAATGGTTTGACTTTCATTATTTGTTTCACTATAACTATCATATGATCTCCCTACCAGCAGAATTATCACCGATATTTTTTTTCAAAATCACGAATGCTCGTCTTTCACTCGGGATTATTTTCTACCAACAAAAACATATGAGTAATAGGTACAGAGAAAAAAATTATCGGAAAATAATTCTGATGCGTGAGATTCGGTAAGAAAATTTCATAAATTGGAGCTGCTTTTAATATAATGAGAAGATGAACCCTATGACCTATTCTACGAAGATGTCGAAAAAATTTGACACTAAGGTATACCTCGTTTTTATTACTGAAATGTGAGAAACATTAAATGACAAATTTGTTATCTGAAATCCAATTTCTTCATTCAAATAAAACTTGAAAAAACATATTTCCGATGAATTTAGTTGAATATGACCCACTATATTTTTACTATAGAAGTTGATTTTACTTGTTAGTAATTGAGGTTTATTACTAAAATTTCAGGAACATTAGAAACATCAATTCATTTTCCACCATAACATCTGATATTACAATGTTTACATAGTTTCAAATTGAACTTGAAAAAACTTCGGTGAGTTCAGTTAAATATGACGCAATATATTTCATCAATAGAAGTTTATTTTACTTCCTAGTAGCTGAGGTTCATTACTAAAATTATCGTTGCTTAATTCAATGTGGCAGAAAATGAATTTATGAAATTTTCAGAATTATTGATATTGTTAGAATAAATGTTTTTTCAGCTCCTCTTGGCACCATTCAGTACTTTACAGAAAAAACTGGGTACTTCAGATCATTTGGTTTTGATGGGTCTATACAAAAACAACAGAGTTACACTTATGGACAGAATTATGCTATTGGTTTCAAAAGAGATATTAACATTTGTGGAATACAGTGAGTAATACATACCTTAAAGCTCGCTATTGTTCTTTCAATTGGAAACATTTTCATTCAATTATTGAATATATAACTTGTATACCTATAGCTTATGGGTCATCGAATGTTATACAGGGTGTTATTTAAGTATGTAGCCAAACTTCAAGGGGTGATAATTCGGCCGATTCTGAGACGAAAAGTTTATATGAATATATGTCTTGAAATGCTTCGTTTTCAAGAGACAGGGTTTTAAAGTTTCAATAAAAAATCGTTTTTTCATTAATTACTCATGTTTATATATGATCTTTATTCGCTAGAATATCACAAGAAATCAACCCTTGAATTTTTTGGTGTTATTCAGATATACCCTGTATATCCCTATCATAAACAATATAATGTTTCTTGGGGTAATAAAGACAATCGATCAATAATCATGAAAAACAACAATCAATACTTCCATGTTTTTATGAACTTCTCGTCTTAGAATCACTCAAATAACCGCGACTTGAAGTGTGGCCACATAAATAACCACCCTCTGTATAATTACCGGATCTTTATTATGCTTGAAATCTTCTATTCCAGGTTCACTCCAGATTATATCAATCTCCCATTTGATAACTATGTTAGAATTTACTCGGACAGAGATTGCAAACATTATCTTTACGTGCCAGAACTGTATTTTGAAGACCAGCTAACAACACTCAACAGCTTAGTGTCCAAAGTGTGTATAAGAAGTGCTGCTCCATTCAAATGTAAGTATGAAAGCATTTCATCTTGAGCAACCTACTATCAGGGCCTACTCTATCTCACCGGGCCGTAGTCTATCCCCTCTCTCTCGACGCTGACGTCACACTAGTAGGTTGAGATTTCACAACAGTTCGTACTGGTGCGTTCGAAATTGATAGGCTATAGCTCATTTACTATAAATTTTAGAAGCACACTCATTCGAGACGAAATGATCCCCAAGGAATTCTCTAACTTTTGGTGAAAAAATGAATCCAATAGGATGAATCAATACCGAGTTCTGGCGTTGTGAAGAAATTCCATTTTATTGATAATCAGGACGTTGTACTACAGAATACTATTTTTTGCAAATTTGGTGAGATAGAGCTGGCCCTGCTACTATACGGGGTGTTGCGAAATTCGACCGACAACGCTTGACAGGTGATAGCCCTCGTGATTTCATAATCACTAAGATAGGGACATATGGTCTTCAAGTGTTCAGTTTTTGACCAGCAAGCCATTCCGGACATTTTATCCAGTAGTGCCCTACAGGGGATTGTGGCAAATTTTCCTCCCATATTTTCTATGCCACTGATTGAATTTCAATTATTTCCAATTCCACGAATTCATTGTTCAATTTTGTTCAGAAAATTCATCACTTTCAACTGAGCTCAAATGAACAATTTTCGAGATATTTGACCCAAAATTGAAGATTGCATTGTAATATTTCATCATTTTCAGTAGTAGGAAATTTTGGGTCACATATCTCCATAACTGTTCATTTTAGCTCAGCTGAAGATGATGCATTTTTTCAACATAATTGAACAATCAATTCGAGAAATTGGAGATAATCGAAATTTCATCAGTGGTGTAGAAAATATGGGAGGAAAGGTTATCAGAACCCTCTGTAGCGCACCTCTGGATGAAATTCTCGAAATGTCTTTCTGGTCAAAAAATTAACCATTGAAAGATGAAACCATATACCGAATTTGAATGCATTGCATTAAATTTTTCTTGATGTTGCGAAAAAACACTATTTCAATTTTTTAACCTCAACGCCCTGTATTTCGAGAACTGAATACTTGAAGATCGTATGTCCCTATCTCAGTTATTATGAAATCAGGAGGGCTATATCACCTGTCAAGCGTTGTCGGTCGAATTTCGCAACACCCTGTATAATTTACTTTTTCCACCACTAGCTATAAAACCTACCATTATTTACTCCTTCTCGAGGCGTAAAGTGTGTTTTCGTCATTTTATGAACAGCTAGTCGATAAAGACACAGCCACCTCTGTTGTAATTATAACCCAAATAAATGCACTGTTCTGATCAGAGATTCGTAGGAATGGCACTCAAATCTAGTACCTATTTATTTATCAATAACGTCTTGTCATATGCTGTCATGGTCATGGCTAATTATTGAAAGTAGTTCTTTCATAGTGACAATTCGCGATAGAAAATAACACGTCGCTCCACCTGACGGCAACAACTTGAACACTTCTCAGCGGTTTGTTTTGATGATGTGACCAATAAGCTCAAACAAAAAGCAAATGTGGACCAATTAAAACAAAGTAAACAGCCCGTTTTGAACAGCTTTCAAGAACTCCGATAGGTGGCGTATGCTTATTTTCTATCGCGAGTAGATCCATGATTCGGTTTCACAGAACTAAAATGATTGAAATAAATTGATAGTGGTGAAAAAAATGTAATATAAACCTCGCTAGTAAAGAAAATTATTATAACGTGATAACCCTCGGCTGAAGCCTCGGGATATAACCTTGGTCCCTGAATAATGATATTCTTTACTACCTTGGTATATAAATAATTATTTTATTTCTTTATGATTGAATAAAAAACTTGAATTGACCCAGTGAAGATGACCATGACTGGATATTTTATACTTCTTTTTTGCTTCAGCTTACGCTCCTGGACCTTTCTATGTCAATTTCAACTCTATGATGACGAATTTCACAACTGATACTGTTGACCAGAAGCAAGGATTCAACATAAAATATGAATTATTAACTAAATGTACTTGATCCATATAACAGGATAATTTTAAACCTCGAATGTTTAATACCTGCCCATAAATTATTTATTTATCGTGTAATGTGTCATTGTGTTTTTATTACGTTTTCCTTCGAATAAATATCTCCATTCTATTTATTAACATTGGGTGGATATAGGAAATCATGGAAAATCGCCATTTCAGGTAAAACACCTCAAAAGTTGTAGCAAATTCGATATATTCGTTGAGGTTTTAGAGGTATCCTCTCATGATAAAATCGAATCTCAACAATATTATTTAGTACCTAATTTATATAACAATACCCATTAATTTACTTACATAATTTCCCACTATAACCTGAAAAACTATGAAAACCTGACACATTTGGAATAGAAGAAGAAGACGTAGGAAAAGAAGAAGAAGTAGGAGAAGAAGAACGGTTGCTCTTGGCTCACAGTTATTTTATATGTGTGTTTTGTGATCTTCTGTGCTTGTTCTGTGCTTTCATGATATCATGATCTGATATCTGAATTTGAACCAGAAAAAATGTCGCTGCATTTTATTTGTGATGCATTTTCATCGGGTATTATATCATTGTAGAGAATAAATTGTCAAGCGATGAGTGCATAAGTGTTTGGAATGTGTTTTAAATTGTTAGATTCTATGTGCGATAATTTAATCTGACTGAGAAACTTCTGGTGAACGCGGTTATTTCTGAGTTTCTACAAGAAATTAACTTTGGGTACGCGCTGAAAGCCGAAACGGAACATCAGGTATTTTGTACTTTCTCACCTTTATAAATATTATAGGTTTAAGTATTTCGATCATATAAAGTATTTCCCCAAAAATAATTCAATTTTCATGACTACCACGATTATTCTTATTGTGAATTTATGAATCTGACAGAGATAGAGATAGGGGTCGTGTATGTTCTAGATTTTTTCTCCATATTTAGCAGACAATGGTTTAGAGAATTATCGAGTTCTTACTGTGTAATGTTTCGAGAAAAATCAAGTTATCGATAGCAATATATATACAGGGTGTTTAGTAATATGTGGGACACACTTCGAGAGGTGATATAGGGAGTCTCAAGAAAATAAAAAAAGGTCTCATAAAAGTCATAAACACAAGTCTTCGTTTGCGAGATACATGGTGTCGATGTTGAATATATTTATAATTTTTGTATGTCCCTCTGTATAGCTTATCTTAGTAGCAAAATTTAAACTGTTTTAGTATACAGGGTGATTCAGGTTTTAGAGCACAAACTGAAATGGGTGGTAGATTTCATCATTTTTATCAGAAAAGTTCATAATATACATTAGTTCGATCTCGTTCAGTAGCGGAGCTAGGTACAGCAGGGGGTCAAAGCTTGATTATTTTTTTCTATTAATAGAAATATCTCGCTTACTTTTCAAGATATCGTTTTAAAATTTGGTGTGGTCGATACTATTTAGAATATCATCATTTCGAGCCATTTTGAGATTTTTAAAATCTACAGGGTGATACGTTTTTGGGGGTAGAGGCTTCTTTATCCCCCCCAAACTTTTTCTAGTAGGTACCATACAAATACGAGATGTAAAATAAAGGTCGAATGTCAAAAAAATTGCGAGACATCAAACTATTGTTTACCGCATTTGTATATGAAAAAATCCTATATAAACCATCTTCTTGTTGACTTTAGGAAATGAAATGTGTTATTGAAGTACAACGTGAGTATATAAATAAGTGTCCAGTGATGGAAAAAGAAGGACAAGTAGTTGTAAATGAATATCCAAGATAGGTGGCAAAAGAAGGTGAAATTTCAAACTTTTTCGTAAAATATCTCGAAAAAATAGCGCTTTGTTCACATTTTTATTGTGAAATTCGTATTTTTCAGACGAAAATACGTAGGTACCAGAAATCATTTTTCGAAATGTCGTGGATGGACTATCCGACATCCTCGGACACCCATAACCGTCTATCTTAACGAGTTTCAACACTTTTTTTACAAAATGTTATCCCCTTTCATATTTTCAGATGAAATTTCGAAGTTTCATCGCCAGCACCTTTGTATTTTCTGAAGAATCACACATCAATTTCATATTATTCAATTTTCAACTTCAACACCCTGTATCTCGCAAACGAAGCCTTCTACGAATTTTGTTTATGGAAACTTTTTTATTTTCTTGAGTCGCCCTATCACCTCTCGAAGCGCGACCCACATATTATGAATTGATTGATTGATTGATTGATATGCTTTATTGTCCAAAGAGTATAATATCTTATTGACAAAGTTACAATTTCCCAAAACTACAAATATATAATATCTATGTATTTTTTTAAACACAGTGTCACACATCCATATACACAATAAAAATTATAATTATTATCACAGTGAAGAAAATGAAATAAAAGATACATCATCAATATCACAGATTAAAAACATTCTCCGAAAAATTCTTGCAGACTATAATACGGTCTTTCACTGAGGAATTCTTTCACGGCCTTTCTGAAATGAGCATTATCCGTGGTTTTCAGATAATTTGGTAGGTGATTATACATTTTTAGACCATTGTATATGACTGAGTCCTTAACGAGGGTTGTACACCCTATTGTATTGTATCAATTAATTATTATTGTTCGTTCTGATGAAAAATCGGCGGTGTTTATGGTGGTCTTATCGTGACAAGAAAAAAAAATCTTCCTCACCTATAAATATATACTCATTTGGAATAAATAGCTATAGGTTAGTAAGTAGGTATTTTGGAATTTTTCTCGGAATTTTTGGAGACATTTTATGTTTGATACGATTATATCTATTCACCTCACTAGCTTCCTAACTGAATGGCTACCTATCAAGATCAATGTTGAGCGATCGTAATGGTTATTGTTGATAATGAAAAATCTATTAATCTCATTGGATTGATAACTATCAACGGGCAACGGGAAGCAGGAAGCGGTCGATATTTTTTTTCAATTCGAATATACGCCAGCCATCTGCTTTTGACATGGCCCTCGCTCATTAATCACATCTATTTCGGCCTGGATGATTTTGATGCTTGCCACAGGATTCCCTGTTATTCTGCGGGGAAATTCACCGATTTGGCCCATTATGGAAAAATAGCGCAAAACTTCTGCTCATTCCAAAATAAGAGTTAAACGCCATCAAAACTCAAGCCTGTATATATTTCACTAGAAAGGCGGAACTTAGTACTATGGCAGATTTAACAATGTCTAGTACTAGTATACCACCATTTCCACCAAGTATGACAAAGTCCACTATATCTAAGTATGCTCGGATTTTCCATAAGCACTTTTCTATAGGAAAATTATGTCCGATCTATCGCGAATTAAGCTGCTTCACAAAAACTCATCGGATTTTTATTCCTTGCCAAAATCTACTTTGCACCTCAACAGTTTTCCATGATCTATACAAAGCACAGATACGGCCTGTTTTAGAATACTGTTCTCACATATGTAGTTCAGCACCCAAACATACGCTGATGCTCTTATACATTCGATGCAGAGAAGAGCCATTTTCCTGGTGGGGGTGATACCGCACGTTTTTTGATATTATTGGAACACCGTAGAAAAGTCGGCGAGAAGCTGAAAATCAATATTTTCACTAATAACACTGATTGATCTGTTTACCATAAAAGATAACAAACAAAATATCTGGAATGGAATTGACTTTCAACAATTGATAAAGGTTACTTTGCTGCAAAAAAAAATCCCCTGGTATCTTGTATACATGAAGGCTACGTTATAAGGTGGTGAAATGAAAACGTTGCACAAATAACAACTCAACAAGATATGACAAAACATATCTGAAAAATATTTTTATTTTTCTGTGACGGGAAAAAAGTTTGGCATTTCATCTCTGTTGGCAGGTTATAAAATGTCACTTTTCATAAATTACTTTTTTCCGTGGGAAATATATACACTGTTGACGGCTTTTGTTGTGCTATAGTTCCGAAAAATGAGTCAATAATACCGTCTCCGAGAAAGAACTGCAAGTCCTTTTATCTTCCATTCGACTTCGCGGTTACGTATATTACTAAACAACCACTAAATTTGCAATTTTTCGAAATCAAATCACAGAATTAGACTGACAGAAGTGACATCAGATATTTGATTACTTCAAAAGAATGATAAAGATGCCTACTTTTAAAAACTTTCTCACGTCGATAATTTTCAGATTTCAAAATAATGTAATATCTTCTCAATATTGATTCGTCCTTTCTTGTGTCACAGAAAAAAATAGTGTATTATACACGGGAAAAATATTAGATTTTAGCTCACGGGTTTCGTGTCAATACAAAAGAGTTCACCATGTTCATCGAGATGTTCATCTAACCAGAGCTTATACACTCCCCTTGGATAATATTTCGACTAGTTCTTTGGATAATAATATCTCGACTAGTTCTATCACCACGATTTATCGTCGAAGGTATACCACCGGTACCCAACATGAGACTTATTAATTTCTAGACCTGTCCAAGGTACAATAATTATGTTTGGATTACATTTCGACTAGTTGTACCACCACGACTCCTCGTCGAAGGCACCACTCTCCACCCACCAGACATCGCAGTTCCTTTTAGAACCTATCCAAGGTCCAACCCAGAACTGGAAAGGGGTTTCATCATCGGTGAACGCACCGTATACTCAAAGCGGCCCTTATGACTCGCATTCAATCCTTGTCCAACCTTTACACTAGGTTTGGCACAAGTAAACTCGCTGTACTATGGGCCCCCTACGACCTCAGCACTGTATTTATTTGCACTGTACCCTGGCCCCTTACGACCAGAATACGCATAACAGCAAGCAGAGAGAGCGCCTTGTATGAGCGGAGTCTTGGTGATGCAACTAGAAGGGTCCAATGACTAATGGACGACTGGTGAAGGCTTGCTAGAAGTATATGTAGGGAGGGAAGCGTGCTATAGCGGTAGTGAGGTAGTCAGAGGTACGAGCGACATCTGGCGCACGTTAGCTGTCCTAGGTAGTGTGAGGTATGAGGTGAATTTGAGATTGGCAGGTACTGATGAAAAATGTTGAATCAATTTTGGGGTATTTCAGTCGGCCTTTACAAAATGGTTGTGGATCAACATGGTGAATTTTCATTTAAAAAAATCAAATTATGATTTCAAGAATATATACGTAATTGTTACCACAAACACGAATATGGTTGATTCCACCTTTCTCCTTTCATTTGATGAAGTAAAGTTTTGTATTTTAGTGGAAGTAAAGGTTCTTTTGAGTCAATATACAGTATAGGTATCTCTTTTTGAGGAATTACTCATTCATGTATACTCGTTCCTGTAGAATTCAGGACTAAGGAGCTAATGCTTATATAGTTGATTGAAACTTTAAATTGATTCAAGATACTATTTTCGTCACGCATAATGAACATATTTTTATACCATTTGTTTGATTCAACGATTCATTTTTTTTTTCATCTGTGTATTGTGTACTGTATTGTAGATATTAAAAAAAAACAAATTGGGTGGAATAAATATATCAAAATTTGATTATTTCACTTTCTCTGTTCCCTATATCTGTTTGTTTGAAGAAAAATAATAGAAGAATGAAATGAATAAATGAATGAAGAGATGGAAAAACGGTGAAATGCAATTTACAATGCATCAGGAATTATTGGAAAAATATGGGTATGGATAATATTTTATTGTGAACAATAAATTATGTAACAAAATAAGTTCAAAAATAATTTAAATAAACAAAAATCTAACAATCTAAACTTTGTACATTTATACATATCCTCACAAATGTAGCTTCATTTAGGAGGCCAATGGTCACGTGTTCGACTATACACCTGGGAAAAAAGTACAAAATGATAAGATATTTGGTAGGAAAATATATTTTTTGCGTGCTAAATCAATCAGTTAGAGATTAGATATAATATATAAAGTAATCTTTGTTATCATTCCATACAGCACTTGAAAAAATAATATCAAAATTGATCTAAAGGTGAAAATCATCAAATGATATGAACTATTTTTTGTAGTTTATTCAGTTATAAATATGATTAATTTTTCAACAAGGTGTGATGCTTTCGTAGGTATATGTTTTCGAGAATTTTCCTTACCTGAACATTTGTCCTTACAGGCTTTTTCAGTACGGAAGTTATTTTCATTTCCCCCACAACCGCCATAGTTGAACTGATAGCACTGTTTGGTGGAAGAGTTGTACCTCCATCTGGGCATAAGAGCTCTACAAAAACCTCGAACCTCGGGAAGTTGACAAATTGCTTCAGCAGATTCTTAGAAGAAAAAAAAAATTAAAAAAATTGAAGTGAACACTTGAAAGGGCGAGAATGTTTAGGTTCACACCATGTTTCAACTCGTGTGAATATGAAATGAGTGATTTCTGGCAAACGGATAGTTGTTTCAAAAAAATGCAAGAGACCGAACTTCTTCGGATTCATTCATGATGGCAAACACATTTTTTGCTAATTGCTATTCGAATTTATAGTTTCTCACATTAAACAGAAAATTTGGGCAAATAAAAGTGCGTGAACTCCACACTCCCACTCTAACTCCCCAAAATCTGTGCTTATATTATTCTTGAAACAGAAAAAAAGGAAGTCTATTTGAAGTAAAACTTTTATTTTGATTCCAATATGACGTCTATTAACATCAAATTTTTAATCACTCGTATATAATGTAAAGTTTATAATTTAAAATTTCCTACCTTTCGATGATGGTAATCCACTGATCATTTGTACCAAGAGTAACACAAAAGCCACTACCGTAAAAATATTCATCTTCACCATCATTTTGACTGTTGACTCAACTCGCTGGATTTTGACATCGATCGACTGCTTAGCAATATCTGAGCAGCAGCATTCCCGCTACTTTATTTTATACTATGGTAACTACGAATCACAGGCGTCTTGATGTCACGGTACTATACGGAATTTCGGCAACGGAGTACCCAGTGTTTTCCCATATCATTGTATACGTGTGTCTCGAATAACATGACTTCATTTCAGATGTACTATAATCGACTTTCGCTCTTGTGCCCAGTACTCGATGGGGAGAAAGTACAATGCGACGTAGATTATTGGTACTTGTACTATACTTTCCGAGAAAATCGGTACTCGTCATTGATTGTTTGTCTTTATATATACAGTGTGTTACAATTTGGTCCACCTCATTCCTGTACTTTCGTATTCCTAGGACGATGTGAATTTTTTTCTCATAATATACTACTCAAAATTATCTACGTTATCGAGCAAAAAAAAATTGTCAAACACAATTTCTTGGGCTACTGCGATCACAGAAACTTCAGCAAAATTTAGGAAAACGGATTAGGCATCTGTTTACAAAAATTTTGATGATGACAATCGATTCGGACTAGTAACAAATACTCCTATATCAATTTTTGGAACAATATCTCATTAGGGGTGTTTTTTACCAACGTTTCAATTTTTGAATAATTGCATGTGTTTCAAATCACCGCCGTGAATAACAATTCTTATAAGAATTCTAATGATACCATCAGATGTGATGGTGTAGTCAGAATTAGATCATCTGTCTACAGAGTGCATGAGAAAAATAATAAAATAATAAAATCATTAGAAATAAAAATTTTTCAACCAGAAATAAAAAGAATAGAAATAAAGCCTGGATAATACCAATAAAACAATAACATCAAAAAAGTTGAAGAAGAACTAAAACAGCAATAACCATTCCTAACAAGTTCGGATTTTTGTATTCTCGATTCAACTCTCCTCAGTTTTTCTGGTGATATCTCTACGCAAACTGTTATTATTTTTCTTCTCTATTTCTTGGCCTGAATTTCTCACTCCGTATAGCCAGATTATCTATTCTATACTACCATCATGTCTGGTATTATTCAAATTCTTGAAAGAATGATTATACACGGTGACTTGAAAAACACCCCTCATGATATATTATTTCGAAAATTGATTGGAGTATTTGTCCGAATCGATTGCAATTATAAGAATTTTTGATTAATTGCTTAATCCGTTTTCTTTTATTTTGCTAGAGCTTTGGTGATCGCAGTTGGCTAAGAAATTGTGATTTATATTTGTTTTGCTCGAAAAGGGGATAATTTTGATTAGTATATTATGCATGGCAAAAAAAATTCAAATCGTCCTAGGAATACGAATACGGTGGGGTGGAGTAAATTGTAACATACTGCAGGTTTGATGATGAACATGGCCACATCAAACATTGTATGGGTAATTTTTTCACATGTGTATATACGGTGTCTGGAAAGGTCATACCGTGAATTATAGTACTTCAGTACTTAGTACTTCATATAAAAAAATGCCTATTTCCTCCCTTTTTAATACTTGTACGCTTTTTATTGAATATACGACTGTACTAAAATTATTTTGGCTTACTCTATCATTTACGACATGAACGTTTCAGCCACCCTGTATACAAGGTGAACCAATATTTTATCAATTTATATAGCAGCTCGGTTACTGCATATAGACAATATGGCAGAAAGAACCTTTCCATTCGTGTGGATTCTTTTAATGACAAAACTATATACCAGAATATTATTTTTATCTATAAAATTAATAACTTTTCATTCATAAATGATGTTATTTTCACTTTTTGTTGATTGATCGAAAAATGTACTGTTTTTGACTCATAAATTGATAACTTCGTTAACGCTAAGATATCCACAAAATTCCTGAGTTATTATACAAAACATGACTGAAAACAATCATATAGTAGGTATTATAAGAATCTTGAATACATAGGTAATGTAAATTTTCCATTTTCTGACTCAACAACTCGATCATATGGGTATAAAATAGTTATGATTGAATCACTACACTATAAATAAAAATGTTTGTTATAAGAATAATTTCCATGAACAATCATTCGACTATGAAATAATGGAAACATGGGTTGTTATATATATATTCATTATACAGATTTATAGTGGAAATAAGTATATAGAACCATAATTATATAGATTAGATCTTAATCAGAAAAATAAGTTTTTGGGATGCACTTTTAGCAATGGATCTCACGTGATTTTCCCAAGGAAGAAAATTGCTGATAGTGTGCAACAATTCACAAATTTGGTGTCTCCTTGTGAAAAAATCCAAAGATTCCAGAAATGATATCAGTTATTTTATCATCGTATAACACATACCGTTTCAATTTCATTTATACAAAATGAAAAACCGTTGCGACCATACTTTTAACTACAGATCTGTTATAATTTCAACCCATTGTGAAACCAATAGATTTCTATACATATATTCTTATTCCAATTTCGAACCTAAATACATAACAAAAATAGAAGATATTTCAATAATTTGCCGGTTCATTGACATTTTTGACTGTTCAAGGTTTCTATTTGAATATTATGTAAGATCTAAATAGGTATAGGTACCTACATGTTATACAAATTTCAACCGAAACTGGTTCAGTATATTGAATAAGAGGAAACAATAATTGTTGCAACATGAAATCGCGATAGACGCAGGTACCTATACAGAGTGTTCTCATAGTGAATACGTTCATTTCAAATTGAAATTTTGAGAATTTCATCGACATATCAACTTACTAGCGCAATAACCTTGCTTTTTTTTCAGGAAACGGCCAGAAGAAGAGAGAGAGATAGGGAAAGACTGAGATAGTACCTTATATATATACATATATAATTTCGTCCTATAGGAGAAGTCAAATGGTAAGGATTTTTTCGATACATAATCATTTTTTCATTTAATATCGACAATATTTGAAAATATTAATTTATTAAGAATTTATGAATTGTTCTTCGTTTCATCATCCATCTCTCTACACTGCCTCTGACATTCCTATTTAGGTATAGGTATGTATATTCTCCAACTTATGCAATACTCTTCGAATTCATTATTGCATGTGTTCCCAAATGTTTGTAGTGATTAAAATATTGCTGTCATCGATAGATTACCGAATACTGAACAGTTGCAAATCAGCTTTCACTCTGAACAAATTATAGAAACAAATCAATAACCAATACGCCTTTGTTTCAACGAAATATCTAATTGTGTTTACTTTTTTTCTGTCAACAGTGGCTCTTCATTCTATAGGTATGATTTCATACATTTTTGTGTCATCAATGGATTTCACATGATGCCTCAGACAGGATTTGGGTTAAATTTTCATATTTTTAGTTCGGGATTCTATGGTTGAAATATTTCCAATTAGTAAGGAAACACCCTGTATATAGAGTGAAGGTAGAGTCATGATATCCCCAATTCAACAAATACTGTTCTGCAGGAGACACTATAGGGTGGATTCCCTTCATGCATCGTTCAATTCTCTTTTGAAGAATGAAAACTTTATTGAAATGAGCTGAGGCTCCCCAAAAAATAAGTCCATACGACAGTATTGCAAACTATGCTATCAATATGAATCTCCCATGTAATTTTTTTATCAAGTGTAATTCCCAAAAATTTTATGGAAACAACTTCTCGTGTGCATAGTAGATACATCAGTAAAAATTACTCCTTATCTTCATTTGAATTATACATCCGCATTTTCCATTAACAACCCTTTTCCTAAGTTTGGTTTTGTTCTCCGCGTGAAAAAAAATTGTAATGGCTCGCGTATACGCGGAGTATACGCGAGCACACAGCCTAATCGGTCCACAAATCTTCGAAACTTCCTTGTAAATCAAAACGCGTGCTAATTACTAAGTGCTTCTTTTCAATTAGTAATAGTGATACGGCAATTAGTATCGTTCTCGGTCGCTTTTCGCGATATTGTTCGCGCCGCCAGCGCCACCTGCGACCCACTTTTTGATCTATCGACAACGATAACGCGCCCTCCGAATAATAATAATATCCTCTCCATACATACAGGGTATGTCCGTGTCACGACGGTAGCTTACACTATCTTTATACAGTGTGACCCACTTCTAATTGGGGTGGTTCCATGGCTGTTGGCGAGCAGTGTATATCACTGAAGATGACCCCACTTGGTCATAGAGTGCATTTTTGGTATATCTCTTGCTCTAGCAAATTTCAGAATCCTTATCCAACGATTATGTAAGATACAGGGGTGTTTCCATTAGAAGTGGGTCACACTGTATTTTTTTTTGTTCTGGTTCCCAGGAAAAGGGATATCCTGTAATGTTCAGAGAACATCGTGAGAACCAAGGAAAATATGGTAGGAATTGGTGTTCTTCTTGAATTTCTGGAGGTTATATGCCTCGGGGAACACCTCCCTTGGCAATGTGTTCCAGAGCCTCGCTGTTCGTTGGATGAACGAGTCTTTAGAAAGAGATATCGAGAATCAGTTGGGAGAAATCCATGAAAATGTGTATGCTTATGTTTTAGAATACGATCTCTTCTACTAGAAAGTAGCAACAACTTTGTTATTTCAAATGGAACACCCTGTATTTCATCGCATTTTTAGATTCTGCATAAAGAGCTGATTTTATCGATATATCACACTAGGGGTCTATTGGAAAATATTACAGAGATATAGGGTGTTGAAAATCGAGATTTTTCAACTTTAGGATTTGTTTGTGTCTAAACTCTTGATTTAGTATTCACTGATATTTAATCGCAACAGATACAGGGTGATCAGTATTCTGAATCTTGAACCACTCTATATCTCTGTAATCATTTCCGATAGACCACAAGTTTGATGTATCGATGAAATCAGCTCTTCAGGGAGAATCTGATAATGCAATGAAATACAGGGTTCTCTATTCGCCCTGTTAGTGGGAACCAGATCATAAATACATAACAGAACATGAAAAAAACCGAACGTATTTCATAATCCCCCACTCTACTCTACTCTTGTTTAGCTTCGATATCATTGTCAATTTTTGGGATAAATTGATTTAAAAATACTGCTACGTTATAGGAACATTTCCAGAAATATCATGATTTGATGAAAAATACCTTCGTTTAACATCACACAGGGTTTCCAAAATTTTTCCAAGATTTCGGACTCACCTTCAGATGGCAATAATCCCCTAGGTAGCTGAAATCTTTCGAT